GGCCTTGCAATTGCCTTACATCGCCACCCACCGCACACCGTAGACATAGTTATATCCTTCCTGCATGTCTCGCCCGGCGAGGGGGCAAGCAATATATCCTACACAACCGTCGGGACCCCTGCCTCGACCTGCCTCAACCTGCAACGTCACTCCCGCAAGGAAGGAAGCACGGAAGCCAACCGGGAAAGGCGCAGCCACGGCAGCGACATGCGCACCGCAACCTTCCCCCCTCCCCCCCACACCAGCTTCCTGCGTCCCGTTTCCGCTGCCCACTCCTCGGGGCATCCCCAGGTAGGTAGCCAAACTGCATGCGGTACAACGGCGCCAGCCGCCAGCCGCCGCCCGCCCGGCCACACAGTCCCACAGCATGGGGTTGCCTGCCCCGCCCCTGGTGTGTGTATGTGTCCCCGCCCGCCGGAGACGGGGGAGGGAAACGGAGGAAAGGAATGAGAGACGAAACGAAACAAAGAGATGTCTCAAGAGCACACACCCTTGCTGTCTGTCCTCGAAGGAGAGATTGCTTTTCCCCCGGGTCTCACATCCATCTCGATCATCTCGATCATCGCGATCTTTCTGCATATTTTCGATCTTGTCATCCCACTACCAACCCCCCCCGGGGGGGCGGCAACCTCCCTGCCGCCCCAAACTCCCTCTCGTCGACCGACCAGGCCGGCTGCCTTACAACTGGCTCTGGACATCGGGATGCTCGTTATCGCCCGGCCAGCGAGCGTCAGGCCAGACATGGCGCATGGCTTCCCAAATGTGGCTGTGGAAAGAAAAAAAAATTCGGTGTTAGCAAAGGCGGCACATACACACGCAGAAATACTCCTTCTGTTTTCTTCTTTTTCTGTGTTCATGTTCCTCCAACCAAGGCGGGACCACAGCGCACACTGCCCCTTGCTTCGCGTTGTGTCGCGTTGCGTTGATTTAGAAATTTCGGGGTAAGGAAAGGAAACAAGAGGGAAAGAAGAGGTGAGACAGCAACAGCAACAACGACAACAACTAGACACAGACAAACGTACCTGACATGGATAATCTCGAGACCGTCCTTCACCTCCTGGGGAAGGTCCTTGACGTCCTTGCGGTTTTGGGCCGGCAGCAGCACCGTCTTGACGCCGGCGCGCAGGGCGCCAATCAGCTTCTCCTTGATTCCTCCGACGGCGGTGATGCGTCCGCGTAGCGAGATTTCGCCCTGTTGTGTTGTGAAACGAGCGGTGAGGGGTTTGTGTCAGCCTAACCGCGATCCCTCTCTCTCTCTGTGCGCGTGTCGTGTGTGCGTGTGTGTGTATGTGCGATAAAAGGAAAAAAGGGGAGGGGTTGGAACGGACGTAAGGGTTTTTTTTTTTTTTTTTTTTTTTGCGGAGGGGAGGGTTCACTTACGGTCATGGCCATGGTGGGCGGTACGGCTTTCCCAGAGAACAGGGAGATGAGCGCGATAGCTTGCGAAATGCCGCTGCTGGGCCCGTCTTTGGGGATGGAGCCCGATGGGCAGTGCACGTGAATGCTGCGGTCCTTCATGATGTTTTCAGTCGGGCCCTGCGTCAGACCCAGCTCGTAGGCATGCGCCTTCACCCACGTCAGAGCCACCTCGACGCTCTCCTTGAGGACGTCGCCCAGCTTGCCCGTGAGCTGCACTGTACCGGTGCCTGGCATGTCGGCTACCTCGATAAAGAGGATGCTGCCGTTGCCGCCGGAGCTGTAGGCCACGAGACCGGTGACAATGCCCGGCCGGCTGGTCTTCTCGGCAATCTCCTCTTCGAACTTTTCTATGCCGAGGAACCGCTCCAGGTCGTCGGCGCTGAGGCGCGGATTGTACTTCTCAGGGTGGCCCGCATCCTTGGCATCAGCGTACTCGACCGCTTTTCCACGGAGGACCGAGGAGATTTCGCGTTCGAGATTGCGGACACCTGCTTCGCGGGTGTACGACTCAATGATCTTGGAGACGACCTCCTCCGTGAAAACGACTTGGTCCTCGCTCAATCCGTTCACGCGGATCTGCTTGGGCACCAGATGCTGCATGGCGATGTGGCGCTTCTCCAACGTGGTGTAGCCGGGGAGATAGATGGTCTCCATGCGGTCGAGCAGCGGTGGTGGGATGGTGTCAAGACTGTTCGCGGTGGCGATGAACATGACCTTGCTCAGATCGATGGGAATGTTGACGTAGTGATCCGTAAATGAGTTGTTCTGCTCCGGGTCAAGCACCTCCAGCATTGCTGCTGACGGGTCGCCGTGCACGCTGGAGCCGCCTACCTTGTCGATCTCGTCGAGCAGGAAGACGGGATTGGCCACGCCCACCTTTTTCAATCCCTGGACGATGAGGCCGGGCATGGCGGCAACATATGTACGGCGGTGGCCCCGGATCTCTGCTTCATCCCTGACCCCACCTAGCGAGATGCGATGGAATTTCCTCCCCAGCGCAATGGCTACGGACCGCGCCAGACTAGTTTTGCCCACTCCCGGGGGGCCGATCAGTAAGAGAATGGGCGACTTGTCGACCATGCGCCTGCTTCTCAGGACCTCCAGCTTGGCGCCGTTGGCCTTGATCCTTTCGTCTGCGCTTGGGTCAGGTGCGGGAGCTTCTGTATTCTCCTTGCTTGCTGTCTCGACCGCACCAATTTCCTCCTCGGCCTTCTTGATCTGTGCATCAACATCATCGTTGATGGACTGCTTCAACTCTTAGGACGGCGAGGTATTCCAAGAGGCGCTTCTTCACCTTCTCGAGCCCGTAGTGGTCGTCGTCTAACTGCTTCCGCGCTCTGGCAAGGGTTTGAGGGCCCAGGCGGTCATCCGTAGTCGTCGTCCAGGGGATCTCGGCCAGGGTCTCGAGGTATGTCCGGGTGATGGCATACTCGGCTTGGGCGGGGTGGATTTTCTTCAAGCGCTTGATCTCCCGGTCGGCGACCTTGGCGGGCCTCGGGGGACAGTTTCGCATCGTCGAGTTTCTTTTGCAGCTCGTCCAACTCGTTCGTCTCCTCACCTGCCTCCTCTTCTGGGGGACCGCCAGACTTTCCCGGGTACCCCGGGGGTGGAAACATGCCCGTTCCCGGTGTGCCGATCTTGATGACGGGTGGCCTCGACCTGTTTGATCTGATTGTACCGTCGTTATCCTTCTTGCCCGAATCGGAGTCGAAGGGCAGCGTCGTGGTAGTTACTGTCATGATTTTGATGCTGTTCTTGATGTTGCCGACTTGGCGATCGAGCAGCTCGATAACTTTGGCAACGCGCTCCTTGACGTCCAGCAGGGCCAAAACCTGCAACTTCTCCTCGTAGGAACTCTCGACGATATTGGCCATGAAGTCGGCAAGGGAGCCCGGCTCCTTCTGCTTCGTGATGAAGAGGTCGAGCCGGCGGGCGAGCAAAGGCGACAGCCCGGGGGTGCCGCTTGAACGTGGGAGGACGGATGACAGCCTGAGGATGGCGACGAGCTCCCTCGACAGGAGCTTCAGATGCTGGAAGAGCTCCTCGAGCGTCGCGTCCGGACGTTTGCCATCTTCCTGGAAATATACCACCTTGCCCTCCAGGTACGCCTTGTCATGGTAGATCTTATCCACCCGGACGCGGGTAACACCCTCAACCAACAGTGTGAACTCCCCCGTGCCGCGCCCCTCCACGCCGGTTATTTTTGCCGCAACGCCCCAGCCAAAGAGGTCGGCCTTGGTAGCTTTCGCCGGGTCGACATCGGGGCGGTCGGGTACAGCGGCGGGGTTCTCGGCATTTTCGATCAGGAGCTGTCCGTTGGGGCTGAGGAGAGGGGATGCGAGGGGGATGCAGACAATGGGGACCGTATCGATACGGCCATTGGGTATTTTGGAGGCGGCGCGGGTGTAGACAGCGGCGAGCAGGGAAGCGATGTCGGGACGGTTGAAAGAAACGGCGACTCGCTGGACGACGCCCGGCAAGAGCACGCTGTCGCGGGGCAGTGTGATGACCGGTAGAGTCGCCGTCTGGGTACGGGCCATTTTGGAATCGTGGTTCGTGGTTCGTGGTTCGCAGTTTGTGGAATCGTGCTGTAGTATGTGATGCGATGGGCGTACCCAGTCGGGTCGAGGGGGGGAGTTGATGATTTCCTGGTGCGTTTGGGTTTGGTAATCGGTGATGGTATTAGTTAATCGGTATCGCGTGTATACAGAGTCCTTTCAGGTTGTTGTATTATTAGTTATTGTATTTGGTGCAGTTTCTTGATACAAGGTTGGGACCAAAACCCATCATCGAAGCTCAAAGAATGCCGGTGAAGCAGTGGCAGTTCAGCCAAGGCAAATGCAAAGAGGAAGGCAGCTTGTCATTGTTGGTCGTCGGCGCGAAGAGAAGCATGGGGCTGCTTCTACCGAGGCTCACGCGATTGGCGACGGGACTTGAGTGGTGGGCAAAGCACCGGGGCGCCGGGTTCTCATTGCCGGCGGCAAGATCCACGACCTCGGGAGGGGGGACAAAAAACCCCACAATACCCCGAGCCCCTGCACAGCTTTGCAACCATGTGATAGTGATAGTGATTGTGACCGTGATTGTTTACATTCGATGAAAGTGCGTTCAGAGGATTAAATTTATGAGACAATTCCAGAACATTGATTCATCCCATTAATTAATAACCTAGCATCTTAGCTCATCTACCCCCACCTCACTTATAACCACACACAGCTCTTGGCTTCGTTCACTGCATAGATGCATATCATTACCCCTGAACGAGCCCCTGACAAGAATACCCTGTTACCCCGGACATTGTACACCGACAAAGACGCCGCCAACAAGAACCCCCCAAATGTACGTATAATCGGCAACCATTCAACGTGGGGTCCAACGTAATCACGTTTTACAAACCCCATCAACTCAACATTCAACATGGAGAGACGCCATGCTATGCAACATTTACCCTTCTCCCAATCCCAACACCCACCACCATTCTTCCCCTCCTCAAATTCAAGACGATAGAAAAGAAAGCTCATCACAACTTGACTCAATGCCCCAACTGTAAAAAATCCCCCGCTCCCTTCAACCTCCCCCCCTGCTGCTGCTGGCCGCTGCCCGCCTGTTGAGGCGAAGCCGATAGCGACCCACCCCCTCCACTCGACGGCGAAGTCACAGTCACCGACGAAGCCGGGCCCGGCTGGTACTGGTACTGGCCCTGGCCCTGACCTGGATACTGCTGCTGCTGTTGTGGCGGATGAAAGGGAAACCCGCCATCGCGCGACCTGCCGCCGGTCATGCGACGCATGCGCGAGCGCGTGCCCTGCGTCAACGGCCGGATGACGTTCTCCAGGAAGAAGGAGCCGCCGCCGGGCCCGTCACCGTTGGCTGTGCTGGGCCGCTCGTCGTCGCCGTCCGAGAAGACATCCTCCGGGAACTCGTCGTCCGACGTGAAGTCGCCAGCTGCCGCCAGCTGCGCATGGTAGGAGGCGGGTGCGGAGGGGGATGTGATGGAGCGGGCGTGCAGGCCGGGCCGGTTGAGCGGGGTGATGGTGGTTGTGACGATGTTGTTGCCGTTGTTGGTTTGGTGGTTGTGGTTATGGTTATTGTGATTGGGTGCGCCGCTGCCACCGACGCCGACGTTGAAAGCACCTGGGTTCATCGTGTTGCTAGCCGCTCCTGCGCCTCCGCCTCCTTCACGCGGCATGTAAATGGGTCGGTCTGCGAATCCATTCTGAAAGGATGTGCTGCTGTTGTTGGACGCCTGGTGTAGAATGGGGAGGATCTGCTCGTCGTATAGCTGCGCGCCGGACTCGAACGTGTCTGGTGTGAACTCGGTGACCGTCCGCGACGATCGGCCGTCGCTCGGCGGGCTGGTTGACACGTCGTCGAAGAAATCGTCCAGGCTGTCGAGCTTCGAGAAGAGGTCTCCCATGGGTGCGTCCACTCGCCCGTCGTCCGACATCATCGTATCCGCCCTCTCAAAAGAACCCGGGAAGAACCCATATGGGAAATCGTCCGTGTGGAACTCCACCTCGGGCGTCATGGCCGGCTGCGCGACGACGCCCTCGTCGCTCTGACACATGTAGAAAGCAGCATGAATATTGGCCCGCGTCGAGTCCGTCTTGCGCGCAGGCATGGGAATCGCCCATCCTGACGGTTCCGGAATGCCGAACAGGCTCTGCGTGCGCTCATACTCCTTCCGGACCGCCTTGGATGTCGGCCGCGTCATGCTCATGCGGAGATGGTGCTTGTCCATGGACGACCCAGACATGGTCATGATGTTGTCCAGTACCTCCAGCGCTTCCATGCAGTACTCCGTCTGCAATAGTCGTAGGAGGGGCGAGATCATATCGGAGCCGTGGCTCGCAATCTCCGGTTTCTTCATGTCCACCTCTGGGATGATCGCGCGTAGGATTCTCATCGTCTTGATCTTAACCCATGACGTTCCGTTTGTGAGGAATCCCATCAGCATGGTGATCATTTGGCAATCCAGCGTGGGCAAAAACCGCTCCCTGAGCGCCTCGATCATTTGCGCGGCAAAGTCGCTCCCATCCGGATATCTGGCCCCTAGATAATTATCCAGCACCACAGACACGCTCGTCAAGCTCTGCTCGTCCGCCGCCGCCATGAGAATCTCCGCTGTTTGCACAACCCCGCGGTCGAGGAACTGTTGGTCGGCGGTGTGCAAAAAGTAGGGAAGGTTGGCAATGATTGTGAAAAACAGACGACTGTCATCGCCGACCAAGGAATCACTTGGTAGCTGGATAAGCCTCTCAAGAGTTTTCAGCGTCAGGTCATAACAGGCCGACGAGCGTAGGCCCTTGTAAAGTAACGGCTGCAGGCCCTCGAAAGGCCCATCCCACTTGGACGGCTGGCCATCGTACAGCAATCGCCGCACGGTGGGAGAATGGAAGTCAAGCTTGTTGAGAAACTCGTTGAGCATCTCGACTCCTTCAAGGAATTCGCACTCGTTGATGGACTCAAGACAGGCGCAGGTGGTCCAGAAGAGTTGTGGAAGAGCCAGAAGCTTGTCGGCATCGACCTTCACAATCAGCGTCTTGAGTGTGGTGAGTATTTCCATCGAGAATGTCTGGATCTCGGTGTCCTCATCTGCGATGGTGTTGGACAGACGGGCGAGCATGTCTCCGAGCATGTATTGATCGAGTGATGTCAGGATACACCTGAAGATCTGGAAGGACCGGCAGGCAAGGTGTCTGACTGGGCAGGAAGTCGCCCAGGTAAGAGAAAGTCTGCCCCATTGATCTTTGATGCCGGGGAAAGTGAGCTCGAACGTCTTGACGACCTCGGCTGTGAGATATTCCATGCTCGGGGGCACCTTGTTGTCGTGACCGTCCACCTTCCCGTTGCTGTCCTCGTAGCCCCACACGACGGACCTGTCATGGCGCCGGATAGCATCAACCAGACTCTCGATCCACTGCTTGGTGGTCGCCGGCGTGTTGTCGTCGATATTGGAGATGACAAGCTCGTGAATGAGATGCACCAGCATTTCGCGAGCCTGCTCCTGAACAAGCGGCGTGTAATGGTCCCAGAGCACCGTGACCACCTGCAATAGAACCGGGACGTTGTCCGCGGCGAGGCTAACAGGCGCCACCATAAGATCAACTAGGAGGATGAGAGACAGCTGGCCAAGGGAGAACCCAGCTTGCTTGGTACCGACAGGGAGAGCTTCCGAAAGATCTGCGCAGTAGGGGAGCACGTTGATGTCGGGAGGAGGCGGTATTGTCTCCCGCTTCTCGTTGGGCACCATGGCTTTGGGCGTGATCTGAAGCAGCAGGAACTCGATCACCCTGTTGCTCGGCGTGCTGTTGGTGCTTGCGAGGAAGACGACGATCTGCTTCGCGTACTCGACAAAATTTTGCTCTCGCCGCTCTAAGCACAGGGACATGATAAAGTCCAGGACCAGCCGCACATTTCCAGGATGCGGCCCCGTCGCCAACGCTTGCCAGAGCGCCTGTACCTCGTTGTGCAAAGCCGCGCTGGATTTGATTGTGATCTCGAGCAGGTTGGCAAGGAGAACATATGACTGTGCAATGGGCCCCCCATTCGGATCGACCTTGAGCTCGACGGCTTGGATCCACGGGAGGATAACGGCGATCACGTTCCTCTGAGCACCGGCTTGCTGATCCTTGAAATAGAACGTGAACTCGGAGAAAATGTGAAACGCCAGTTCCGTGTGTTGCTTTGCCAGCCGCTTGGATATTTCGAACTGGGCCAATTTATAGACCGCCTTGGTCTTGTCCGATATGCTGATGTCGAAATCCTGGATCTTGGAGCTCCGGGGTTGCGGCTGCCGTTCCTCGAGCGCTTTCAAGAGATGGGCGGCTCTTGACCTGATAGCACTCTGGTCATTGCCGAGCATAAAGAGGCAGAGGCCGAGGAGCTTCCAGAACGGAGTAGGGTAGTCGAGATGCTCTTGGAGTACCTCCGTTACCGCACTGAAGTAGCTCTCTAGCATCATCGGGGCCTCAGCAAGGTAACACCTCGAAATGCAATGCTCAAAGAAGATATGGGTATTCCTGATTATGGACTATCAGGTTCTTGAGGGCCATCTTGCCGATCACATTCATGCGATCGCTCCCCGAATTGAAGATGGCTTCAATCCAGGCCAGCATCCTTCGAACGTCGAACTGGAGGGATGCGCCGCTGTCTGTGGTGGCGCTGATGGGCCCGCCGCAGAGCGCCCCCATGGCGCTTAGCGCTGCCGTTCGCAGATTTCTTTTCTCGATCTCCATGGCTGCTGTGACGTTGCCACGCTCGCCCGCCGTCTTTTGGTCGATTATGGATTGCCTCATGTTGTTCTCCCTCTGCCGTATCTGTGGCTGGTTGGGGGAAAAACCGCACCAATCCTCCATCAGGGCAAACGCTGATTTCCGAGCTTCGAATGTCATCCACCGAGAGGGTTCTTTTGTCCGATTGATGCCTTCGAAAAGCTCCTCCATGAGGCCGCAGTAATGCCGTCGCAATTTCTGGAACTCCCAGTCCATTTGAACCTCGCCGTCCATTAGGAAGATCTTCAAATCTTTGGCATATGCGACTAGATTGTTTAGGACCCAGTCGTCCTGATAGACCTGGGGCTCACGCACGAAATGGGACGTGAGTTTGTACACATGAGTGATTTCGGTTCGCAGGATATCCATCTTGCGATTCCGCCGCGGACTGCTGTTCGTACGCTGGTGAATGCGTTGCCGCGCGTCATCGTTGCAGCGGGACACCTGCCCCTGAAGCTCTTCAAGCAGTGTGCGGTAAATGTGGATATTGATGGACCCCATGGCGATGACCACCGCCTCCCGAATGGGCGCAGACGAGGCAGAAAGCATGGGGTTCAGATACTTGAAGAGGGTCCTTGCTGAACCGATCTTTTCAGCCGCTGAAGACGACTTGGATCCCTTTCGACCGTGTTGGCCGTTCTGTGCTCCACTGGGCTGGGCGCTGCCAGGATCTGCGAGGGTGGTACAAGCAAAAACAAGATAGAGCTTCCACTGTTCTATGACAACCCCCGGATGCGTCGTCGGGGTCTTCCCCGTCATGCGAGCACTGCTGGGCTCCGCATAAAATTGGCCGCGGTGTTCACGCGGTGGCTCTGACAGTACCGTGATGACCTTGTACAACTGAAGTATCCGCTCGCAAATGAGATCACGGCTCAGTGTGATGGCGAAAGGGCACTTGTCGAAGGCGATGCGGATAAAGTTGGGGAAGATCTTGAACCACAATGTGGTATCGTACGAAACTTCGCTGGTGCAGAGCTCGACCAGGGCCCCTTGACTGTTTGTGTTTTGCATCCCTCGCTGCAGCCTGCTCCGCTCAGCTACGGAAAGTTGCTCATCGTTGAAACTCATGACCTGCATCGAGTCGTTCTCGAGAATGTCGATAAGTCTTGGGGTGTCCTTCTCGCGACCGCTAGGCTTCCTTAAGACGGCGTCAAAATCAGTGATCAGGCGCAGAACATTAACGGCGTAGAACCGCACGCTCCGAGATTGGGAGCAAAGGAAGAACAATCCGTGTGCTTCCACTTGGTCGACTTCTGCCCATACGCTCGACAGATCCAGTTTGATACTTCTCTTGTCAGCGACGCTGGATTCGCCGCTCTCATCTGCGGCGTTTTTGGTTTTCTGCTTGATCTCCTCGATCCAGATGTGAAGGAGCTCGATGTATAACTTGAGAGTCTTCTCGATGTGTCCCGGTCCCAGCATACCCCCATCCGACATGGTAGAGTAGCGGTCATCAAAGTTGAAGATGAAGCGCGCAAACCCCATCGTCACTTGATGAGCATGTGACTGGCGGGCAATGGCCTTGAGAGACTGCGCCGATGACTCTGCGATGTTGTGTTGGACATGCGCCGTTCCAGTGCAGAGAAGGTTGATGAGAGTGTTGAAAGGTATATCGGATGACAGACACCGCGGGAGGGCTTGAACAGCTACATGGAGGAGTTCGTAGAAGGCTTGTTTCTGGTCATGAGGGTTGGGGTGATCGTCCCGGCGCGCGAAGTTGAAGGTGTCGGTGATGGGTGTTTTGGGTCCTGGGCTGTTGAACTTTTCTATCTTGTCAAATTTCTCATCTAGAGCAGCCTGTCCGCCAAATGTGTTGTCGCAGATGATGCTGATCTTGCCAAGGATCTCGCAGAATCGGGAGTAGTAGTCCCTGACGTTCTCGGAGAGCGCGGAAACTGAGACTGGCTTCGACAGTCTCTCGCCGCCCGACAAGGCCGCCCAGGCAACGGAGGGAAGGTCACGCGGCGAACCAAAAACGGGCGACGTCGGGGGTACACGATCAGGGAAAGGAGGCGGGGGCGCATACGACTGCGGGAACGGAGGCCGGCCCTTGTCACCCTTTTCGAGGTCCGACATGATGGTGAGGAAGGCCCGGATCCCAACGACGATCCGGTCCGGGTCAAGCTGCTCGATCTTGAGCTCCTTGTTAGATGTGAAGAGGTCGGCATTGACCAGAGGGAAGATGATGGTTCGGAAGCAATACTCCGGGTGTTTATAACCAATGAATCTGATGATCTGAATCAGCGGGTCGATGATGGCATTGTCTGTGGCAATCAAGGTCCTCTTGGCATTGGGGAGAACGGTCTTCAAGATCTCGTCCAGCCTCCTGGTCATGCTCGAGGAGCTGTCGTTGGCGCGGTAGAGATAGGTCCACACGAGCCTCGAGATGACCTGCAAGCAGAGCGGCCGAGTGGAGCGGTCCTTGAGCCGCGGTTGTAGTGGGTAGATCAACTGCAGCCATTGACTAACAAACGTATCGGGCGGAGAGACGCACAACATGGTGGCGGTTAGGGGAAAGGTGCACTGCCAGTGGCGCGGTTTAACAAACATCTGCGCCAGCCGGGGTCCAACCGTGGCCAGCACTTCGTTCCACTTCGCATGCGCGATGTCGCTGTTGGTCGCCTTGGCGGCTATGGGAAGCACGAGCATCTCGAAAACCTGGCAGAAGGCCGATTTTACCTTGGGTCCGTGGGAGCGGCTGAACAGCTTCCCGAGGGTGGCCAGAAACTCACAGGACCGGTCCCAAGCATCCTCCGGGGAGGTTTTTATGCGGAGATGCTTCATCCCTCCCAGCACGAGTTCCATCTTGCTCTCAAGATCCCGAGGTGACGAGGACGGGGCCTTGGCATTTAGCTCTTGCAACGAGCGGTCGAGATCGGCAGTGAAGCGGTCGGTCACGGTGGTGAAGCTGATCTCGCTCATGACGCCCATGAGCTGGGCGAAGAGATTCCAATTAGACAGTTTCAAGGGCGAGACCATGAGTTGTTCAGTATCGGAAATCTTGAGCTGGCCGAATATAATGTTCTCAAGCTTGTCCTCCATTTCCGGAGTGATGGAAGCGAGCGTGCTCTGCGCCCACACCTCGAGGAGGACGCGGCAGAGCACGTAAATGGAGACGGTCGAACGGCGCTCGGCCTGGGCAACGTATTCTTGCTTTGCAGCTAGCGACATCTGGCCGCCGGGGTGAGTCTCTGGGGCGGCGCCCCCCGCGGCCGGCTGCATCGGCTCTGTGTTACGCCTCTGCAGCGGTCCGGGAGGAGGAGGGTAGACCCGCGACTGCTGGAGTTGGGTCCGGGCCTCGTTGGCCGCGTCGCTCTTGCTTTTTCTCCAGAGCATCATCGAGTCAATCAGCGGTCTGGGCTTTTGCTTAGCTATGTGGCCGAGGGCCACAATGAGCTGGTCAAAGCCGGGGTCTCTCCCGGGTCCGCATATCTCCTCTACATGTGGCTCTGGCTCGAACGGGACGGTGATGCATTCGTTCAACTTCTCCTCCGCCTGCGCGATGAAGGACGTGAACAAGACATGGAGGGCGTATTCGCCAACGGTCTTTTGCTCGTCTTTGTGGCGCGAAGAGTGCGAGTGGTGATGCGCATGGTCGCGTCGGGACTTGCCACTGTGCCTCCTCTCCATCTTCCCTCGCGCAGGTATCTGACCACCGATCTCGCCGGCGGCGGCTGAGGAGGACCGTTCGGGAACATTGTTGGGCATCGACCCGAGGGTGGTTCCGGAAAGTGCGGTCGCGGGCCGTGGCCCTAGCGAGGAAGCATCGCTGTCAAGGCGTGGGAAAGAGTGCATTTCTGCCCTGTCTGGGGTGAGGCCAGCCCCGGCCGCAGCAATCATTTGTGGGCTAAGGGGACTGGAGGAGGAACTGGCGAGGCTCCCGTTCCTAGAATGATGGATGCCAATGCCATGGACGATGGATGTTTGGCGATGGTGTCCGTAGGTGGATGCTTTGGGGTCTACAACGCGCTCTATAACGCCCCCGAGAGCGCTTCGCGACGGCACATGCGATCGTGGCGGCGGCAGCTGTGTAATGAGGTCGGGGCGCTGAAGCTTTTCTAAGGACGACTCGCGCGAGTGGGCAACACTTCGAGAGCCCAAGCCTACCGGGCGTATCGTCTTCTGCCAATCGTCCTCATCCTCCTCATCAAGTCGAGAAACCGTGTGAGGCGAGAACTTCAAGGGCTCGTGATCCGGCAACGTCGTCTGAGACGGAGCTATGTTGGTCAGTATGGCAAAGTCTGCGAAACATCAACCAACTTCTCCCATCATGGCTAGCCGCATCCTATGGAATCGGGCAGAGCGTAAAACCATGTGGGGTACAGTTGAAACCGCACGGAGACGGAGGCGGCGGCGGCGATATTAGCGAGTGACTCGGGCCGCGTGGCAGCGTCACAAGCCTTTACCCAGTAGAAAAGGGGGGGGGGGGGGAAGGGGGCGAGGGTTGTATCGTCTGAAGTTCGGCGATTCAATCGCTTTGCAGGGAGGCGACAAAATAAAAATAAAAATAAAAATAAATCGAACAAAATGCATCGCGACTCACCCATTTTTCAGAAACCACAGCTCGCATGATCCTCCTGATCGTATGCAATCACAATACCGCAGGATCTTGACAAAAATGCACAAGAGGGATGCGGCTGCAAGACAGGCACAACGCCAAAGGTTCTGTTTAACTTTTGACTCGGCGCGCTTCGAGACGTTGAGGTGCTGCCCACCGGAACATGGGAGCCTCAGGGGTCCGAGACTGTGGGCCAATGAGCACTCACACGGACTGACCCGCCCTTACACAGGGCTCACAACAGCCGGCCAATCATCACGCCATCTCCAATTACCCCAGTTTACGGACGTTCCAGGTGACAGCTTGACAGTAAAGAAAATCATGGGAACATCAAACATCAGGATAATATCGACTAGTTATATATATATGGGTGTATGCCTGTGATTAGACCCATGTGTTGACACTCCAAACCGCACTTCCCGCGTCCTCGTGTACCCCAAAAAGCATAGGCAATAAATAGCGTTGTGGGGTTTCACAGCAAACAAAACAGCCAGCACAGTTTTTACATTATTATTCCATCCAAAAGAGTCCATCAAGTATCCCTTGTGGTGTAACAAGGGATGGCCATCTCCTCGACATGATGTCAGGCTCATGCGCCCCAGAGGGAAGACATGTGCGCAGGTGACCTCATCCATCTCCATGCCTCAACACCTGAATCGTATCCTACTCCACATCTCCTGAGTCCGTCGCCGTGGGACGAACATGAAACCAAGAGTCGACTCCCGAGGGGTCTTGCCGGGGGGACACGCCCGGGATGATCCCGAATTCTCGGGTACCTCTCCTTCTCGTCACCTACTACATACGATAGTCACATACGACGCGCAAGCTCACTTATGATATCACGTCACTGGGGCGCGGCCTTGTGAAAAGCGCACTTTAGTCGAAATTTCGACAAGGCCATGCATGGCATTGGGCTTTGCGCAATAAACACCCATGCAACTGACGAAAAGGCGACCATCGGCCGAAACAATGAGAGGAAGTGAAGTGGCCAGGTGTCGGCTGCCATGCTGCATCGCATGCCCCACCGATCTCTACCGCCGGGTTGCGGTGTGGGGGTCGGAGTTGTTGCGGAGAGGGTTTCCGGTTTCCATCTCCTTCCCTCGCTGCGTTGTTCTCAAGCCGAAAACGCGGAACTCCAAATTCTCAACCCAGCAGCCTACCTCCGGGCTTGCTTGGCGTTTGTTTCCCCGCTCTGTCACCCTCAAACCGCCGGCGAGTCGTGGTAACTTGTCGATGAAATCTGCGAGAGCCCTGAGTTTTGAGTCTTAAGCAAGGGTCGGGTTTCTCCAACCGATCGAAGCCATCGAATCAGTTGGAATGACGGCGGCCCGCCCCTGGACTGTTTAGCCCAATTTGGGGTAAGTGGGGCTGCCTGGCTCCTCAACATTTAGACTACACAATAATGACCAGGTGTCAAAGAATTGTCTATTATCAGACGAGAAGAGGAGGGGAGATAAATAAAACCAAAAATTCAGATGGAACGCATGTGGCCATTTGATGATATCTGGATTTTACCACAGCCCAGGAACTACCTGGATATGGCCGAGGTGAAATCGGTAACTTTTCGCATGCCAACGGAGTCAATCTATGCAGTCGCACAGTCCATCTAGAAACTTAAACGCCAGACGTTCGGAGTCGTATTCGGGTTCCGTCACGCAGGCATGACATTGACAGGACTCTCTCTAGTTAACTTTCTTGAGAATTTCATCCGCACAAATCTTGAATGAAGCGGATATCTTTTGTATGTATCTTGACAGAAAAATAACCAGAACTCCTCCCTTCATCTCCCCTGCCCACCCAAAGAACTCAGTTCGAATGTCTCCGATGGGGGGACAGACTCGGCTTGCGTGGAAGCAAACTTTGAAGGCAGACGAATTACCTTATAAGGTATCGAGGAACTGTGGGGTCAATTGTAAATCCCCTGCCGCGCCTCCATCCGCTGCGAGAAACACTGCACGGTCAGCAGGCCGTGCTTGGCAAACCTGCCGGGCTGACGGTGGTGCCACGGAGAGCGAGACTACCCGGCCGGGGGTTCCAGGTTGCATGTGCGGTGTGGCCTATCTGTCGATAAGTGCAGCGTGCAGTGCTGCGAAGGCGGCCGCGGATCCTGGTTGAAATTTCCAGATCTTCTTGACCTCACCCCCTTTTCCTTCGCCCTTTCCGATTCTTGCTTCCCTTTTCTCTCCACATTCCCGCGCATTCTCGCCGGTTGTGTCCTCGCATTCTTTTCACCAATCGCGCGTGGCGACCTTGCAATTCCGCGACGCCCGCAGTTTTTTTTTCTCCGCCGCGTGTATTTGCTTCGGCTTCAACTTTGGCGACGCCACGCCGATCCGTCCGTATCCATTTTTACGGCTAACGTTTTCCCGCGGACCATCTCGGATCCGGTCTCTGGGAACGCAGACCCTATGCTCTTAGAGACACGGTCTTCACTGGCTGCGTCTCTGTCGTCGCTAACGAGAGCTCTCGTGTTTGTGATTTGAGGCTGCTTGTCCGTCACGGATCTGTGCAGCCCAGCGCATCCCAAACTCGCCGAGACCATCCTTCTCCTCCGCCGCCATGGCTGAACTCGACACGTTGGACGTTATCGTCCTAGCCGCCATCTTCCTCGGGACGGTGGCCTACTTCACAAAGGGGAAATACTGGGCCGTCACCAAAGATCCGTATGCGAGCTCCTTCGCCGGTGCCAATGGTGCTAAGGCGGGCAAGACTCGCAATATCGTCGAGAAGATGGAGGAATCGGGCAAAAACTGCATCATCTTCTACGGGTCACAAACAGGTACCGCTGAGGATTACGCATCGAGACTAGCAAAGGAGGGCAAGAGCCGCTTCGGCCTCGAGACCATGGTTGCTGATTTGGAAGACTACGACTACGACAACTTGGATGCTGTCCCCAGCGACAAGGTCGTCATGTTCGTCCTCGCGACATACGGCGAGGGTGAGCCCACGGATAACGCAGTCGATTTCACCGAATTTATCACCGGCGAGAGCCCGTCCTTCACTCTCGACAACGACCCTCCCCTTGGTAACCTCAACTACGTCGCATTCGGCCTGGGTAACAACACGTATGAACACTACAACTCCATGGTCCGCAACGTCGACAAGGCTCTGACGGCCGCCGGCGCCCATCGCATCGGAGAAGCAGGCGAGGGCGATGATGGCGCTGGCACCATGGAAGAGGACTTCTTGGCTTGGAAGGATCCTATGTGGACGGCTCTGGCTGAGAAGATGGGTCTAGAGGAGCGCGAGGCCGTTTACGAACCCATTTTCGGCATCACTGACAGGGAAGGTCTTACTCGCGACGCCCCCGAAGTCTACCTCGGCGAGCCCAACAAGACGCACCTCGACGGAACTCCCAAGGGTCCCTTCAACGCCCACAACCCGTACATTGCCCCCATTCAGAAGTCCACCGAACTGTTCAGCGTCAAGGATCGCAATTGCCTGCACATGGAAATTGATATCAGTGGCTCCAACCTGAGCTACCAGACCGGTGATCACATTGCGGTTTGGCCTACCAACGCCGGCGAGGAGGTTGACCGTTTCTTGGAGGTCTTCGGTCTTGGCAGCAAACGCCACAACGTTATCAGTGTTAAGGCCCTCGAACCGACTGCCAAGGTGCCTTTCCCGACCCCAACGACCTTCGACGCCATCGCCCGCTACCACATGGAAATCTGCGCTCCGGTCTCCCGCCAATTCATCGCCACTCTCGCCGCCTTCGCCCCCGACGACGAGTCCAAGGCTGAGATGACCAAGCTCGGCAACGACAAGGACTACTTCCATTCCAAGGTTAACGCACACTGTCTCAACATCGCTCGTCTTCTCGACGTCGTGGGCAAAGGCAAGAAATGGTCTAACGTTCCGTTTTCTGCTCTCATCGAAGGTGTCACCAAACTGCAGCCCCGCTACTACTCTATCTCGTCGTCCTCTCTGGAGCAGCCCAAGTTGATCTCCATTACTGCGGTGGTCGAGTCGCAAAACCTCCCGGGCCGTGGCGACCCCTTCAGGGGTGTCGCGACAAACTATCTCCTGGCCCTCAAGGAGAAGCAGAACGGCGACCCGAACCCCAACCCCTTCGGACTAACGTACGAGATCACCGGGCCCCGCAACAGATTCGACGGCATTCACGTCCCGGTCCACGTCCGTCACTCCAACTTCAAGCTTCCCTCGGACCCCACAAGACCCGTGATCATGGTTGGCCCTGGTACCGGTGTCGCCCCGTTCAGAGGGTTCATTCGTGAAAGGAAGAAGATGGTTGAGAACGGCCAGGCTGTTGGAAAGACTATCCTCTTCTTTGGCTGCCGGAAAGTCGACCGAAGACTTCTTGTATAAGGAGGAGTGGGAGGTACGTTTCGAACAATCCCACTCGATCCGCAATTGTTACAATTTTCTAACCTTCTCCACAGGAAGCTAAGCAGGTGCTTGGTGATAAGTTTGAGATTGTCCTCGCCTTCTCTCGTGAAGGGTCCAAGAAGGTTTACGTTCAACACCGGTTAAAGGAGCGTGCTAAGGAGGTCAACGAGCTATTGCAGCAAAAAGCCTATTTCTATGTCTGCGGTGACGCCGCCAACATGGCTCGCGAGGTCAACACCGTCCTAGCGCAGATTCTCTGTGGGGAGCGCGGCATTCCAGAAGAAAAGGCTGAGGAGATTGTCAAGCAGATGCGGGCAACGAACCAGTACCAGGTACGTTTTGCGACTAGCCGTCCGAGCCGAATTGGTTTGCTAACCGCCAAAACAGGAGGACGTTTGGTCCTAGACGAATATGCTTATCAGTGGGATTTATGCTACTGTGTAAACGGCGACGGCGCTAAGGTCAGGGCAGCGTTAGCAATTCAGCATCCGGCGTGCTTCTGGGATAGATGAGAGTTTTGTTCATGCTGCATCGGTTTCGCTGTCGGCTGGTTTTTTAGAATAATGTGTCTTTTCTCCTCCCTGTACACCCGCCAGGTTCGGCATCATCCCTTCGAGGACGCATGTGCTTCTAACTCTTCTCCGTACTACGACATGAATGAGACTATCTTAACCAGATCTGTCTCAGGTATTTCGCCCTTGGCCGGGACGGGCGAGCAGGCGGGCGATGTCGGGTGTGTAACTAGGTGTGTTCCACTCGCCCCTCGAACCGTGACTGGCCTTGAGTGCCCCGCTTGTTCTCTTCTCCAAGTCCCACTCTCACTTTCGTCTCCCCCTTTTCCGACCTTCCCGGAGCGGGGGATCTCCCGATTTTTAACGTCGGCATCTTGGGATACCCTTGCTCTGCGAACAGACCTGGCTGCATGTTTCCCCGGTGTCTTGTCTCGGAGCTCTGGTCCCTTCTTGGCATTGACCGCAATGTTGCCCGCCGGGTGACGGCGTAGCAGAAAGAGAAGGGGAAACCTATCCGAAGATCGTGTAGCCCATGAGAAAGTTCGTGTTTACGCTTTGTAGTGAATGTCAAGCTTTCGGTCGTTTATGTTATGATTTGTTACTTGACATGGTGGCTTGCCTTGGGCTACATGTATAACGTAACGAGGTGAGAAAATGAAACCGAATGAGGAGTTTATTCCAGTTCTTATTGCATAGTTTTGCTATCGTTATGCTGAGGTCACCGTCTGATTGCATGTGCCAATAAGCAAATGCTTCGCCTCGTCGGAATCAACCTGCCACCATCAACAGCAGTCGACACCCATCCACCCACCCACGAACGAGGCAGTGATCGTTCAAAAGCTCATAAAAGCTCGTAAAAAAACCTCGTCAAAGACTCTGCTGTCCGTGCTGTTACCACGCGAAGACGGGCAGGCCAGCGGAGAATTTGGTATTCTGATCTGAGACATGCCTCCCGATTACACCGGGCCAATGGTTTCAACGATCGAGAGCCACGCTTAGGGAACCAACCACTTGCTCCTTGGATATGTACCTTAGGCATGTACCTATTACCTACCTCCTTAGGTCGGGCCAGGTGGCTGAAGAGAGAGGATGGCGCTGCTGTGGTATCACCTTCCCCAATCCTAGTCTGTCGTCGTGCATGCCCACCTTTACCTTCGTTCGCTCGCCATCGCAACGCCATGTTTCCCAAAGTGGTCAGCTCAGGCAAGGGGTTTCCTTCTTCCTCTTCACGCCAATCAGCAGATTGCCAATGGTGTAGACAGGAGGAAGTTGGCGGGGTACGCCGCGGCGATCATGCCAGTGTCTTGGATCGAGTTGACTATTCTCATGCCCATCCCGCCCCTCCCGTGTCCCCATTTCGTGGCCCGTTAAGTAACTGCCCGGTCGGAAAGGCTTCCGTAGCAATCGTGGGTTGAAGGTGTCTCGCCTCATCTTCGGATGCAATACCAACCCCCGCTCAACAAAAGACGAGCTCGTCTTTGGCGTGAGGTGCTTAGTTGTAGCTCCTCCTGTCAGGTTGCGTCGTTCGGGAGGTGCGTCCTCTGAGGGCTGCAGGTGACACTCGCCCATCTTCCATACTAAAGGAGCTTGATGTCCGTGCCGGTGTTCGTCGTTCTTCGGTGCTTCTTCTTCTTTCACTCACAGTATCCCTATCCAACATTGTTAGCATGTATTCGCTTAGCCGCAGGGTTTAGGAGCCTGAAGATACTACCCAGTAGCTTGAAGAGCCTCTTGATGAGGGCTTTTACCGTCGCCGTTCTCTCGACCACCGGATTGCGAATCACTAAGCGCCGAGTGGCTTTTGTGAGCAGGAAAGCTCGGGTCAGCCCGTACCAGATAACATCACAAAAGCAGCATGCTGACCGAGACTGCAGAGATCACTTATCCATTACCACTGCGCTGCCACAAGGCCAGGTCAATGCGAAACGAAGTATTTCCTTGATCACCGATACCCCTTGACGACATCTTTCTAGCATCTCGCATGTAACGACTCCTATATCCACTCTAAAGTCAACATGCAGTGCCAGAGTTGGAGGTCCACCATCCCACCCCGTGAGAATTAGGACATACGACTTAACTTTTTCTGGTTTTGTTTTGTTTTGACTTTGACCAATCCTTATCAATTCTAGCGGCGAGGCAGGAGCAAACTAGGGAAGGAGACGAAAGTTGAAACCACGGCAAGCGGAAAGATACAGGACGCGACTGGATTTCAGGAACCCAGAGACCGACAAGATCCGACCATTGCGAGGGTTGTACTGTGCCTATCAGTGCGTGAAATCGACATCAGGTAGTTTCGGTTAAGATCCGATCAAAAACGTCACCAACCGTGTGCCTTGGGCATCCGAAGCTGGCAGAGTCACTCGAACTTGCATCGTTAAGTTACTACCACCTACCACCCAGGAGCCCGCTCCTTCCTTCGGCCAAACAGTTGCCAAAGGGTTTCCCAATAACGAGGACACTCGCGTTTATCCCTGTGCTGTCCCTCCTTCTTAACTTCCATTCTTTAAGTACCAAATCACTGGGACCAGCCTACCTACCAGGTAGGTTGCTTTCAAACCACCGAACTCCAGCAACAGTTTTGGAAGCTCCTACTCAGAACTTGCAGATTGAGCATACTATAACGTCATACCCGAGTCGCTTATTCGGGCTATCAGGTTGAGTTCAGGAGGTAAGTCCAGAAACAATTTCTTCTATCGCATCGTCTTCACCTTTGTTTGCTCCTTGATAGCATTCATCACATACCTACCCAAGTGTCACGCTACCTACCTACTGTAAAAATCCCAACTCTTGAGTTTCCAAGGTGGATTTTCTCTGCGGCGGAGGCAGGCAGTGAATCCCGAGCACACCCGCGCAGGCCCGGGCAACAACCACGCGCCTTCCAACCTGGAAGTCCCTTACCTGCTTTCCTCTTCTCCCATCCCCTTCCAGGTGGCAGGAGCCCTTGTACTCGGGCCACGCTTTAAAATCCTCTCTCTTCTCGCACCCAGACCCAAGAATGTTTTGGACCGTCGTGGACTCTGCTTCCGATCATTACAGCATCAACACTCCCACCCCATCCCAAACCAACCACCGCAGTCTCCTCCATTCATCTTGCTGATAGCTCGATCCATCTTCTTACCTCCCTCATCACTCACTTGCATTCGACTCTTTGGTACTAACATCGCCGTCGAGTGGCTCGGTTTCTTGTTCTCGATACTTGCATCTCTGTGATCCTGCGGCAACCTGTCAGGGTCGATTTTGGAGGTAAGTCAACGCGTCAAAACACGACCACCCCAACTTCCAGACCACGCGCTTTTCTCTCTTTCCCGGACCTCTTCAACCTTTTCCATGGTCGGGTCTGCCTTCGTTCTTCTCTTCTTTTATCATCGCCCCCTTCCTCCGCTTTTCCCTCTTTCGCCCTCTTCCTCCAACCATCTACAACCGCCAGCATAACTTGCCATCCAGTCGTTCCCACTGATTATTCTACAACGGCTTCTTGTATTGACAAATTTTTCTGAAGAAGTACTCATTTGTCAAGAAACGCGAAATCAAAAGGTGCGTACAGAAACCACTCCTCTTCGAGCACTTCCACCACGACCCCCCTCCGACCTTGACGTGTTTCGTTCGTTGGCTCTTTGGACCGACGGTCTTCGCCTTTTCGAGTTCAAGCTTAGCAAGGTTAACAAGGCTAATAATTACTGATTCCAGTCTGTATCATGACTCACTATCGTGCCGGCGCGGCCATGTCTTCCGACACTGGAAACCATCGCCACGCATCTTATCCTGCATACCTCAGCGCTCAAATGAGCCACGGCCCCCAGCATGACGGTCCGACTTCCCATGGCCAGCATATCGGTCACCACTCGGATGCCATTGGCGCCGTGGTCAACCAGTTTAGCACACTGGCCCTCCCGGCCGGTCCTGGCATACCCAGCGCCTCGACCATGTCACAGATGCAGGCCCACCATGCCTACTGTGGCCCTCAAGAGCAATCTGTTGCCTACCAGGGCTACCATTCCGTCCCGGTCCACGTTGGCATGCCGCACGAAGCGGCGTATTCGTTCGGAGTCTCTGGCCAATACCCGGTCCAGAGCGGGTTCGCTCCACTGCCCGTTCCATACCATGCCATGCCGTACACACCGGGTCGGGTAGCATCCTACGCTGACCGCAGCAGCGAGGTTCCTGGCTTGGATAATCGCCGTGGTTCGTATTCCACCACCGAGTCGACTCCTGCGACTCCCTTCTTCGGCAGTGCGTCGGAGCGTGCCAACTCCTCGAGAGTCGCGGTTTTCCGTTCGAGCTACACCACCCCTTCTCCAGAGCAGGTCGTCGCACCCAAGGCCCCTCAGCCCATTGATGAAAGCCTCCTGGAGCTGCTCAAACAAAACCCCCCCATCCCGGAGGCTGTGCCGGCTGTTTTCACCCCACCCAGCCACACCAAGTCGATAGAGCAGTGCCTAGAGAATAGGATTCATGGAAACCGCAATGTCTACATTCGCGGGCTCCATCCCACCACGGACGACGAGCTCCTGCATCGATATGCGTCTCGCTTCGGTAAGGTCGAGCAGAGCAAGGCCATCATCGACACTTCGACTGGCGCTTGCAAAGGGTATGTCTTTTTCCCATGTCCGACGGAAACCTGATTAACAATGTTCCAGGTTTGGCTTTGCCAAGTTTGCCGATGTTCGTGATTCCGAGAAGTGCATCCGCGGCTTTTACCATCTTGGGTATGAGGTTGGTTTCGCTCGGGTAAGATTTCTTCTCCCCTCACGGGCAACTCGCGTGTGTTGAGCGCTGACTTTGGAATAGGAGAGCTTCAACGCGAGGCTCAAGGCCGAGGGCGACGAGCTGTCTACCAACCTGTACTTGTCCAACCTGCCTAAGCGCCTGAACGAATCGGTGAGTTGATTCGTATGAGACCTTGAGTTGCTGTCGACTAATATTGGCTAGGAGCTGAATGCGATCTTTGCTGGCTATCATGTCGTCTCCAGCAAGATTCTTCGTGACAGCATGGGCAACAGCCGTGGTGTTGGTTTTGCTCGGTGAGTGGGGGTTCGCGCCCTTGACTTAATCACAGTACACTAACACTTGTGATAGTTTCGAGACGCGCGATGAATGCGAGGACATCATTAAGAAGTACCACGGTGCTTCCATTGGAGAAGAGGGAATGTTGATGCAGGTCCGCTATGCCGATACACCGGCCCAGAAGGAGCTCAAGCGCATCACTGCCGAGCGGCGCCAGTTCCGTACCAACGAGTACAACATTGGTGCTTATGGCACAGCTGATGTCGGGATTCACCCGAGCATCTACAGCCCTGCCCCTTGGAACCGCCGCCCTGAGCTTGGCACCAACGCGTGAGCCGCCTTCCATGCCACCAAAGGTTGGGGATTTGAAACTAACTCATGACCAGTCTCTTCGCACCCCGCGTGCCTTCCATCCGTACCAACCTGGGAAGCAGCGCGAGCGCTGGCTCTATGCTGGGCCAGAGCATGGGACACACCCCCAAGTATGATCAGCACCAGTGTGATGGGCAGCTTTCTGAGCATCCCTACTAATATCCTTCTCAGGCAGAGCATCTCGGTGCCCGGAACGGTGTCTTCTGATGACGGCTTGGGTGGCGATGGTGCGACTGTTGTCGACTCTCCCACCGCAAACAAGGGCAGCACTCAGTCCTCGCCCACCATCAAGGCGGAGAAGGCCTAGATGGCCGTTGATGCTTCGCCCTAACATAATATCAGGAGTTGTTGGGGCATTGTAGGACTTTTGTTGGACCACCAGACTTTCCTTATCTGAAGGGTTTGTCGCAAAGATATCGTCTAAGTCACTATCGTCATCTTGCTTTCTTTGCTATGGTCACAATGGCCTCGGGCGGGCGCGACTCGGACTCGGGGCAAAGTGGTTGTCAGCTCACATAATGAACTTCTCTACTATGTCGAACTGGGATAGAACAATCTTAGGGACGGGCTCTTAGTCGGTAGTGGAGGGCGTGGGTGGGCAGCCACAAATACTCTTTGTACTTTTGTTCAGTTTTTCTATGGGGGCTTGGACTTTGATCACGAAAGCTGAGCATAGAAGTATCGATGGAATGGAAGAGATCGCGCCACTTTGTGTTTTGCATGCTTAATGGTGCCATAACGAGTGCCATAATGAGTTGATTGTAGGCCGGCGAGGGTGGTGATGTGCGTTTTGGTATATTCCCGGATCCTCTGGTGGAATTAAACGTGGCAAGTAAGGTGGTAGGAAAAAAGGGTAACATTATAATCTTCTTCATTCAAGTCCCGTCATTGATTGCTAGTTTCTCTAACCCTTCTTCGGTTGATACGATCTGATCCCCGATCACTTGAAGTCCCTCACCGCCGTTCTCGTCCTCATCCTCATCCTCATTCTCAGATTCGTCCTCCTCCTCGTCCGAATCGCCGGTATCATTCTTGGGGTTGGCTTGCTGCTCCCGGATGGCGGCCTCGAGGTCCTTGGCCATCTTCTTGGTGAACCCCGACGCCTCGACGACGGCGTCGAGCCGGCGCGCGCCGTCGCGGCCGACCGTCTTCTTGGCGTCCTTGAAGAAGGGGCCCGGCTCGGTGCTCACAAAGTGGAAGCGGCGCGAGAAGAAGCGCTTGACGCACTCGACGTCGCGGTCGAAGTACATCTCGGCGTTTTGGTGGTCCATGGATACCATCTGGGGGAAGTCAATGAGGATGGGGGTCAGGGTTATGGAGGGGGCGGTGGTGTCTTGTTGTTGTTGTTGTTGTTGTTGTTGTTGTTGTTCGTTGGTGTCGGCGGGGGTGTCGGTGGTATCGGTGCTGGTGTTGGTGCTCTTGTTCTCGATCTTATCTTCGCGGATGAGGATGTTGAATTCGTTAAAATCGCCGTGGATGAGGCCGTGTTTGGCAAGGCGGAGGATGAGAGATATCAGCTCGGCGTACAGGGTGGCGGGGTCGGGGACGGAAGCGATCTGCCGCATTGGGGGGGCGTCGATGAGCGACATGACGATGGTGTGCCGCGACTGGGCGATGGGTTCAGGTACGGGGAAGCCCTCTTCCCGTAGGGCCTGCATAAAGGCGTACTCCTTGATGGCGGCGAGCCGTGAGAGGTACATCCAGGAACCGGACTGGTGTTTCTTGAGGTAGTCACGGTTGGTCTTGACGGTGCGGAACGAGATGCGTCCGAGGCGGTGGATCTTGAGGATTTTCTGCGTGCCCTTGTCGTCGGCTACGATCATGATGTCGCTCTCCTTGCCGACGCCGACACGGGTGCCCACGCTGTAGACTTGCTTGCGCGAGGCGTGGGTATGTAAGGCGAGGTAGTCGAGCCCGCCGTATGAGAGCCGGTAGCCATCGTACTTGGCTTCCTTCATGCGTGCAATCAAGCCGACTTTGGCGAGGGCCGAGATGGACTTGTGCACACCGCTGGCACCGCCCTTGAGGCGGGCGGTCCTCTCAATCAGTGTGGTTGGAACGAGCTCATGGTTCTTGCTACAAATCTCTACCTGTGGGAGTGGGAGGGCGTCTTAGTGGGGTGATAGCGAAAAGGGACATTGAATTGGGGAGCTAACCGCTGTGAGAACCCTCCAGTCTTCCGCCGTCAGGTAGCGCATGGCTCTCGTGTCTAACTTCATGATTGCGAATGGCCGTGGAAAACCACGAGGGTGTTGTGTGGGTTGGCAGTTTATCTGTTGATCAAGTGTGCACTCTAGAGGCAGTCAGTTGATGGTCCTGCTGTTAGCCCCTCCAAAACCCGGTAGTGTCCACCAAAAATTCATGGCTGCGAGGGGCTGATAAGACGATGCCTCGAGAATACTCGGCCGATAAGGACGGTGCGAATAACCATCGGTTCCGTCATAATTAACATTTAACATGGGTGGGCAGTAATGGAGCGGATTTTGTATGCGCCGGGGCCGGAGGGCGGCTGTTGGTCCCAGCCCCCAAGCAAGGAGCGGTTGTCGAGCTTGGTGGAGCTGACCGCTGGTTGGGCGCCTCGCCTCAGGCGGCAAGCAGCATCGCGTAACCAAGCTGCCTGCCTTGCCCGCACGGATCTGTTAAGCTTCCACTCCCTTCCAACCAAGCCCACCAAACCCACCAAACCCACCAAACAGCCCGAATCGCCCCAACCCGACCGTTATCATCTGCGCCGGGATTAAACATTGGAGATCTTATACACCAATTTATTAACGCAAGCGACTGCCGCCGTTTCCGCGACACCGACACACCTAACCAAGCTTTGGGCCATCCCCGCCATCCAAGACCCGACCATGGCGCAAGAGAGCGACTTGTCCAAGACGGCCGACAAGGGCAAGGGGAAGGCCGTGGATGATGAGACACAGAAGGACAAGGCCGGGGAGCCGGTGCCAAACGGCAAGAAAGACGAGGACGACAAGGCAGAGTGTTTGTTATCCTCTCCTGCGCCGCCCCGCCGGGACCCGGAACCCTTGTCGAATCGGTTTGGCTGACCATCACGACTATCATAGCTTCGGAAGAGCTCAGCGAAGAGGACCAGACCTTGAAGAATGAGCTCGACATGCTTGTTGAGCGGTTGACTGTGCGTGGCCAAACTTCCATGGCTAAACTGGTTTGTCAGTTGCTGACTCGAACCTCGCAGGAATCCAACGCATCGCTCTACAAGCCGGCCCTCGAGACCATGAAGAACTTTATCAAAACATCAACCTCCTCCATGACAGCCGTCCCCAAGCCTCTCAAGTTTCTACGGCCACACTATGAGACAATGACAAAGCTCTACGAAGAATGGCCGGTGGGCGACGACAAGAACTCCTTGGCTGATGTCTTGTCCGTGATCGGCATGACCTACTCGGATGAAGAGCGCCAGGACACCCTCAAGTACCGCCTCCTCGCACCTACCCAAGACATCGGCTCGTGGGGCCATGAGTACGTTCGCCATCTCGCGCTCGAAATCGGCGAGGTCTATGGGAAGCGCATCACCGCCGACGAGTCAACCTCAGACTTGGTCGACCTCGCACTGACTCTCGTGCCGCTCTTCCTCAAGAGCAATCAAGAGGCTGATGCCGTCGACCTGATGAGCGAGCTGGAGATCATTGACGAGCTGCCCAAGTTCGTCGACGAGAACACCTATGGGAGGGTCTGCCTGTATATGGTCTCGATGGTCAACTTACTCACCTACCCGGAGAACGAGCAGTTCCTCCGGGTCGCGCACGACATCTACAAGAACTACAAGCAGTACACCCAAGCTATGGTGCTTGCTATTCGGATTAACGACTACGCTCTCATCAACGACGACTTCTACGATGCCCCGGATCCGGCGCTGAAAAAACAGCTTGCCTTCCTCATCGCCCGCCAGAGGATATGTCTGGACATCGACAGGGATACACCCGATGACGAGGAAATTGTCGAATGTATCGGCAACGTGAAACTGCCCGAACATTTTAAGTCGCTGGGCAAGGAGCTCAATATCTTGGAACCAAAGACGACCGAGGATATCTACAAGAGCCACCTGGAAAGCAGCCGCGTGGCTGGCCTAACAAATTTCGATTCTGCCCGTAACAACCTGGCCGCCGCTTTCGTCAACGCTTTCGTGAATGCGGGCTTCGGAAACGACAAGATGATGCTGGTTGAGAAGAATAAGGAGAGCTGGGTATGGAAGACTAAGGAGGAGGGCATGATGTCCACGGTCGCCTCCCTGGGGACCTTGTTGATGTGGGATATCGAGAGCGGCCTAGACCAGACCGATAAGTACACCTACCTCGAGGAGGAGCAGATCCAGGCTGGCGCCTACCTCGCCATAGGCATCATGAACTCGGGCGTTCGGCTAGATTCAGAACCTGCCATGGCCCTGCTTGCCGACCACGACAAGCTCAACCACAAGAACCCCCTGATACGAGTAGCCGCAATCATGGGTCTTGGTCTGTCGTATGCCGGCTCAAACAAGGATGAGCTTCTCGCTTACCTCCTGCCCATCATTTCTGACACGAGTCAGGAGATGCGGGTGTCGGCAATGGCCGCACTGGCCTGCGGGTTGGTTTTTGTTGGGTCTTCTTACGCCGAGGCCGGTGAAGCCATCATTATGACTTTGATGGATGACGAGCGTAAGAGCCAGCTCACGGATAAGTGGACGCGCTTCCTCGCCCTCGGTCTGGGTCTACTTTACTTTGGTCGCCAAGAGGAGGTCGATGTCGTTCTCGAGACGCTTAAGGTTGTCGAGCACCCTATGGCGAAGCCGACATCCGTTCTCGCGTCAATCTGTGCCTGGGCTGGCACAGGTGCTGTTCTGAAGATCCAGGAGCTCTTGCACCTGTGCAATGAGCACATGGAGGAGTCGGACGAAAAGAAGGGCGACGAGCTACTGCAGGCTTATGCTGTGCTCGGTATCGGGTTGATCTCCATGGGCGAGGACGTCGGCCAAGACATGGTGCTCCGCCATTTCGGTCATCTCATGCACTATGGGGAGGCAAACATCCGAAGGGCAGTACCCTTGGCCATGGGTCTCGTCAGCCCCAGCAACCCGCAAATGAAGATTTACGACACACTCTCGCGGTACAGCCACGACAATGATAATGACGTCGCCATCAATGCCATTTTCGCCATGGGTCTCCTGGGCGCCGGTACTAACAACGCGAGGTTGGCGCAACTTCTCCGTCAGCTTGCGAGCTACTACCATAGGGACCAAGAATCCCTGTTTATGGTGCGCATCGCCCAGGGTCTGCTGCACATGGGCAAGGGCACGCTTTCCATCAACCCTTTCCACACCGACCGCCAGATCCTATCGCGCGTCTCCGCGGCCGGTCTCCTTACTGTCCTCGTGGCCATGATCGACTCGAAGCAGTTCATCACGTCGAACTCGCACTACCTACTTTACTTCCTCGTCACGGCCATGCATCCGCGCTTCTTGGTTACTCTCGATGAGAACCTCAAGCCGCTGACGGTCAACGTGCGGGTTGGTCAGGCGGTCGACGTCGTCGGCCAAGCCGGTCGCCCGAAGACCATCACCGGCTGGCAGACGCAAAGCACACCGGTGCTTCTGGCGTATGGTGAGCGCGCCGAGCTCGAGGACGAGGAGTACATCAGCTTGAACAGCACTCTGGAGGGTCTGGTGATCCTGCGCAAGGTACGTTTCTATTATTTTCCACCTTGTGCTGTGTATGAATCTATGCTAACTTATCATCTTGATGCAGAACCCGGAGTGGGAGGGTGGTAAATAAACGAGCTTGCCAGACCAGGGCGAGAACGTGAGACTGCGAAGCGCAAAAGACAGCTTCTGGCAGACAGGGATACGGTGATGATGGATGTATGTGTACATTACAGTAAATGAGTTGCGCAGGTTCATCAACCGAAGGAGCAGGCGAGCTGTAGCGACAGCCCGACGACTTCGGGTTCTAAAATGGGTATACAGCGGGGAAACGTCATGATCTATGCCCCGATAATTGTGCTTTTGGTGAGGTCGAATTGACCACTCGTGTTTATGTAACTGCCTCATGCCTTGATGGAAATAGATACGACAAAAGCGCAGCACCCATCTTTCTCCACGTACACAAGCTAGGGTCGATAGCATAGACACAACACGGAGATCTCCAGCTTCCGCTCCACCACCGCTAAATACACACGCACGTCCTCTCCTTCTTCTCTCCAACAACTAACTTGTCCTTCCACCCTTCGACCAACCCCCAAACGAAACCGGAACTCCATGCTTGATCAGACCGAGCCGAAGCCAAACCAAACCAAACCAAATCAAACCCAACCAGCACACAGCAGCGCAGCGAAACCAACGAGTAGTCGGTGACGGGGATGGGGACGGCCCAACCACCTCCAATGCTGTAGGTACCCCTCCCACCACCAAACCCCCAAAAGCACCACACCTCCTTCTCTACTTCTTGATCCCAAAGATATTCCGCTTCTTCTTTTCCTTATCCTTCTTCTTCCCGCCGCCATCCGACCCACTCGTCCCCGGCCTCAAGTCCCCACCGCCCGCAACACCCAACGACGACGCCGACCCAGACGGCCCGAGCGACATAGCGGCGAGGGCACCGCTAGGGGGCGCCTGGCGGCCCATGCCCATGGCGGGTTGCTGCTGCTGCTGCTGCTGGGGCGGGGGTTGGGTTGGGGCGGGGCGCTCGAATAGGTGGGCCGGGGCCCGGGGCGGGGGCCGGTCGATGGGCAGGTCGAGGCGGCGGCGGTCGAGCTTGAGGGCGCGCAGGTCGGCGATGTACTTGCCCGGGGAGGCCATGTGGCTGGTGATGAGGAAGACGTCGCGGTTGTGCTTGTCCGAGATCTCGTAGCAGGCGCGCGCCTCCGAGTAGGTGGCGCCGCCGGCCACGAAGACGATGATGCGCTGCCGGTTCTCCGCCTGGCGCCGGTTGGCCGACGCCCACCGCGGCGCCGCCGACCGGAGAGACCCCTGCGAGCCGAAGGATTCGGAGGCAGCTTCGAGAGGGGGGATCACGTAGGGGAAGAGGGCCGGGTCCAGGTCGCCGGCGCAGACGCGCTCGAGCATCTGCTTGAGGGCGGGCTCGAAACGGGAGAGGGCGTATTCGTCATCTGGAACGGCGCCTTGGGGGTTGCGAGGTGGGAAGAGTGGGGGTGGTGGTTGGCGCGGTTCTTTGAGCTCTTTCACGGGGCGGGCGCCGAGGAGATGGAGGTTTTCGATGATGACTTGGTCTTGGCTGTCGCGTGTCCGCTGTAGCGAGGCGTGCCACAGAAGCCGGCTGATATCCTGCTCGATGACGCCGTCACGGTACAGTACGTACAGGGCGATGAGGCGGAGTCTATCTGCGGGCGCCACGTCGGGGTTGTCCAGAAGGCGGACAACGTCGTCGAGGACGTTCTTGGGCTTCTTGTAATCTTCGTCGAGGCCGGTGGCCAAGGTCTGCTCTGCCGAAGCAATGTCTGCGAGCTTGTATTTTTTAAAGATATTCATGGCTTCCTGGGCCATGGTGAGGTGGAGGGAGTAGGCCTGCTTCATTTCCTGGAACTGCGGCAGACCAGCCATCATGTCTCGAATGTCATTCACGGTGGGCGTCGAGGAATCATCCTTTTTGGCGAGGCTGGGGTTTGCGTCAAGGAACTTCTGAAAGTCGGCCATGAGCCTGTCGATAGTATCCTTCATGTGGCGGTGCCTATTGCCGACCCAGACGGCGTCCTTTTCCACGAGTTCCATGTCCTTCTCCTCGGCCTTGGCGGTGTTCTCATTGATAGTCAAGTGGAAGGTAACCTTGCCATTCTCTTGGTCCCTAATCGGGAGCAGATCATGGGCCATAGCTTGGTAGGTGAACTCATGTAGCAGGGGGGCCATCAAGTCCATGGACCTGTCTGTGACGAGCAGCACTGACTGTGGCCTCTGGGATTGCGGTGGGAAATTACGGTCGAATCTCTGATAGTTATCTAGCTCCTCCTGGACGAAGCGAGCCAAGTGCATGCACAAGACTTTTGCTTCGTGGGTGGTGTGTGCAGGGGGTTGAAAGTACCGGATTTTGGGGACTTCTTGCAAGGTAATGCAGACAGAGGCGATCTAAAAGCCTCGTTAGCTAACAAAACGCTCCCACCGTAACGCGCGGGGCGATGTGGCCGTACCTTTGATGCCAAGGTGCGCAGATGTGGTGCCACGAGGTTGTTGCACGTGGGATTGTACAAGACGAGAAAACTGGACGGGTCTTGAAAGGTGATGAGATGTGACTCGCGGGGGAAGAAATCGACGAGGAGACGGTCAGGGGGGCCTATAGATATATCGTGAGCCCAACAGCCCCAAAACACGGAGAAGCGCAACGCCGTACCCCCCATTTGCCTCCGAGCCCCATCTAAGCGGCGTTCCAGTTGGTCGGGCAAGGTGCCAGCCCATATGATAAACCCCCTCCTGTAGCGGCGGCGCTCAAAATCGGCGAGAAGGCAATCAACGATGTGTGGCAGGGGAGAGAGGAAGTATACAGCATCCATGTCCAGGTTCATCTCCCTCCGCTCCTCGATACGCTCGATATCTGAGTGACCGGTTTAGTGCTGCTGACGATTCGTCGGGTAGGGATACGGAGGCATACTGGCGATGTTGTGGTTGAGGATGTCATCTTCGTTGACGGAGCTGTCGATGATCCTCTTGGTGCCTTCATCGATAACTAGAACTTTCCACTAACAGACATGCGACAATGTCAGCGCAGGCTCTTTGGAAGGTTGAAGCGGGCTTGGTGTGGGTCGGGGAGATCGAGGTCGGCTTACGTCGTTTTGGGTAGTTCTTCGGATGGCGTTGATGATGGCTATGAGAAGCAGTTAGCAAGAGAGCCCCCTGTTTGTAAAAGTGGTGGTATGCATACCCTTGCCGTGCTCTTTGATGATGGACGGCCCGTCCATGGCGACGGTACGCGGTGAAGCCAGAACCTGGGGGAGAGGGGTTCTCGAGGGAGGGAGATGGTTTGAGCGTGGGAAGTATTGTTATTCCTTAAATGAGAGAAAAATGGTTGCAAAACTCCCCAGATAGCTAATAAAGAATGCTTAACTTCCCACCGTCTCGTCTTCGAAACACGGAGTTGGCAGCTTGTCGCTTGTCGCTTGTCGCTTGTCGCATGTGGATCACAATGTATGGTGGGGTGCCGCCCAACAGCCGCTGCAAGCACCGAGCTCTTATACGAAACCCTAACCCCCGAATATATTCGTCTTGTCTCGAATGGCTTGAGAATCATCTTAACTCCCACTTGAACTTCGACATTCCGAGGTTCAAATGTTGAAGTTCAAATTGAGTTGGAGATCGAATTGTTTCACCAGAGCTTTAAGGCTAGTTCGGGATGTGTGAGTCCCGTGAATTTTGAGTCCAGCATACGTATGGCCCAGGGCGAGCACAAGAGGTCTGATAAAGCTGCGTCTAGCTCCCCTGTTATATTAGCTGCGCCCCTTTTATGTCTTCGCCAAGTAATACACCAATCTCTTCCCAACCAAGATGTTCTTTATATCTTTCACCCTCCATCCTTATTTTCCTCTTTAAACCCCCTCTGTCTCTTCTCCCAAAGGCGTGGGATACCTCATGCCTTGAGAATCTTGACCAGCTCAGCAACGATGGCGTCTCCTGCTTCTGCGGTGGTCGTATTGCCGCCCATGTCCTTGGTTCTTAGCCCGGCGTCGATGGCAGCGCGGACCGCGTCCTCGACGATTTTAGCCTCGTGGGCGAGATCCAGAGAGTACCGGAACATCATGGCCACGGAGAGGATGGTGCCAATGGGATTCTGGAAATCATGTCAGCTTTGTAGTTGCAGCGAATGGATATAAATCGCCCGAAACGGGGTTTTGACGCACCACAATCCCTTTCCCTGATATGTCCGGCGCGCTCCCTGTCATCTATGTTAGTGACTGACGTCTGCATGAGGGCTCGAGTGGAAGATGGGAATCTCACCATGAATCGGTTCACAGATAGAAGGCACTGCGGAGCCCGGATGCCCGCAGAGACTGGCGCTGGGGAGGAGCCCAATGCTTCCGGGTATCGCGCTCGCCTCGTCGCTAAGAATATCCCCTAAAAGCTCATCAGCTTAACCGCCTTCGAGGTGGACGAGGGAGGGGCCTCACTCACCTGCCAAGTTGGGCGCTATTAAAACGCCATTCAGCTTCGTCGGGTTCTTGACCATGATCATGGCCGCGCTGTCAATAAGCTGATGCTCAACCTTCAGCTCAGGGAACTCGTTTTTATAAACCTCATCCACCACACTACGCCAGAGTCTGCTCGTCGCCAGCACGTTTGCCTTATCGAGCGAGATAACCCGCGATTCTCCCCTAGCCCTGGCTAGGTAACCGCCCAGCCGCGCGATACGCTCGACTTCTGGTTTCGTATAAACAGCAGTGTCGAACGCATTAATTCCATCGTACTCTTTGCGCTCTCCGAAATATAGGCCCGACGTTAACTCCCGGACCAACATCATGTCGGTGCCGCGGCAGACAGACGCCTTTAGGGGGGAGGACTCGACAAGGGCGTCGGACGGGAAGAAGCAGGGACGGAGGTTCCCATAGGCGCACATTTCACTGCGTAGCTTTAGGAGACCCTGCTCCGGCCGGACGGCGCCGGCGCCCCATTCAGGGCCGCCAACTGCGCCGAGGAGCACAGCGTGGGCGGCTTTGGCGGCGGCGAGGGCCTTGTCTGTGAGGGGGACGCCGGTCTGGTCGATGGAGCACTGGGGAGAAACATTAAGGTCAGCAAGAGACTTCTCCCCTCGGGCTCGTGTGACCCGTCGGCGGGGGACGACTTACCCCTCCGATCAGGTGGTCCTCCAAGTTGAATTTGCCAGCAGTCGGGCTCAGCTCCTCAACTGTCCTGATAACCTGAATCCTGCGTCAGATGTGCTCAATTGCAGGTCGCAAACACCAGACTCGTACCTTGATGGCCTCGGCGATAACCTGTCAAATAACCAAAGTCAGTCTCTCTCCATCTAGAGTCAAGGGTAGAAAAGCTCGGGAGATAGTCGGTTACCTCTGGGCCACAGTGGTCGCCGGCAAAAACGACAATGTTGTGTTCCGCCATGGTTCCAATACCTGTCCGACGGAGTTCGTCCAAAGAAGGGTCCGTTGTGTGTGACGAAGCACGAGAATGAGGGATTGGCAAGTATGTAAGGAAATTCAAGAAGAAATCCGACAAGGTATGATGATATAAGTCGAGCAGAGCGAAGTCGGGGAGGGGTCGGCTTTCTCGTCCGAAACCGCACCTCTGCCCGGCTTGACCCCCACCGCCCCACCTGCCGTGAATGAACGAAGGTGACCATGCTTGCCGACAACAGCCGTGGCATCACCAATTGGTCTTGTTCCTCTCTTTTCCTCTCTTTTATCGTCTTGGTAATTCCCAATTGCTTGGGTCGCCGAGCCGCATCGAGGTCGCAGCGTACACAAGTGCCGCCAACCTCCTGTATCGAATATCGTTCTCTCCTCTCATTATTCACACGAGTAGAAAGGCATCGTGATGAGCGAGGACAACCCAGAGCAGTTAGGGTAGGTAGGTATGTATAGGCATGCAAGTGCAGCTTGCATCAAATGCTCACTAACACACACCTTTCTGTGCCACACCCTTCCCGCTCGGAAGCGGGGAATCCCTTTGGGCCTCCCCTCTTCGGCCCTCCCCGGGCTCACCTCGAGCCAGCTTGCTGTGTATGTAGAACTCTTCAGGCTACATGGATTCATGGCTGCATGGCTGCATGGCTGCATGACTGCATGTCCCACCTCACGACGTGATATTCCGGCGTCATGCTGGTCACAATCACAACTGCAGCCTGGTCTCGACCCCGGACACTGCCCTCCAATTAAAGCTACTGCCGCCGACATGGTGTCTGCATCCCCGTCTTGTCAGGAAGCCATCCGACAAGTCGGACCCCAACATATCCCAGAGAAAAGGTCCGGGGGATGTTTTCCCACTTTGGGGCTGTTGTTGGCGCTGGCGCCGATGATCGCCGCATCTCCGCCATGGGACAGCGAGTTGAAATAGTTCGGACGTAGCACGGCCCCTCTTCTCGTGTCCCCGGGGTTGGCTGATAAATACCCGGCGTGCCTGTGTGTATGTTCCTCATCTCAATCTTGAACAGTCAACCTTACCGTCAGTGACATCTCTCCTCCTACCTGACCTGTCATGTCAACCGCCACCGTTTCCGAGGGAGGGAAGGATGTCTCTCGGGATCTCGAGAGCCAGGACCGAGACAAACCCAAGAAGTGGGCAAAGTTGATCTCACTCCTGACCGTGAAGGATGGTGAAGTCTACGAGGCCGACCGCGACAAGAACCCAAAATGGTACCAGAAATTGCTAGACGCCGGTGTTGAAGAGAACGGCATCAAGCCTGTGCCCCTCGATCAGCGTACCTCGACCCAGTACAGCAACCTCTTTACCGTCTTCTTCACCTGCCTCTTGTGTTTGCTCCCGTACGTAACCAAATCACTGTCCTATGAGACATGAAATAACCCCCCTGCCTACAGAATCCCGACCGGCATGCTGGCCACGCTCGGCATGGGTTTGAGTCTGAGAGACGCCTCGCTCGTTATTCTGTTCTTTGCGCTGCTCACATGCATCCCCCCTGCCTTCATGGGCATAGGGGGTATGAAGACAGGGCTGCGACAGCTCGTACAGGCTCGATATTCGTACTGGTGCGTCATGAATGAGTCCCTCTTGCACACTTTCACCCCGTCTAATCCACCACTAGGCGCAACGTCGTCGACATACCGCTGCAACAGAACACCGCCCTAGTGACAGGCTTCTCTCTCCTCTGGTACTGCGTCAGCGGGCAGACTATTGCCTCCATGAACACTGACACGTCAGCGTCGACGTGGGCATTGTCATTGCCTGTCTCGTCTCCTTCGCCGTCTCCCGATGGGCTTCAACGCCCTCCACTTTTGGGAGCGCTGGACCTGGATCCCCAATTTAATCTCCATCGTCATCGCCGTAGGCTGCGGCGGCAAGTACCTCTACCTCCAGAGTGACGCCAAGCCGGCAACGCCGTCGCAAGTCCTGACCTTTGGCTGCCTGATCGCCGGCTACTTCATCACCTTTGGCGGCACCGTCTCTGACTATTCCATCTACCACAGCCCGCGGGGTACATCCCGGTGTGTATTTATCAATCCCCGTCCCCCAATTTCACTCAACTCAACTCAACCCCAACTCAACCGAACTAACCCCAGACCCCCAACCCAGGATCAAAGTCTTCCTCTACACCTACAGCGGTCTCCTCCTCCCGTCCATCCCGCTCCTCATCCTCGGCGCGGCCATCGGCGGCGCCGTGCCCAACGTGCCGGGGTGGCAAGCCGCGTACGAGGCGACGGGGATCGGCGGGGTCATGAGCGAGATGCTGGCGCCGGCGGGCGGGTTCGGCCGCTTCGTGCTCGTGCTGCTGGCGCTGAGCGTCATCGGCAACATCGCCATCTCCATGTACAGCGTCGCGCTGAACCTGCAGATGCTGCTGCCCTTCTTTGCGCGCGTGCATCGCTTTGTGTTTATCTTGGTGACCATGGCGATTATGATCCCGATGGCGATCCGGGCGGCGGAGGAGTGGGAGGAGAGTTTGACAAACTTTTTGGCCGTTATTGGGTACTGGGCGGGGTGCTTTGATGCTGTGCTGATTGTGGAGTTGGTGGTGTTTCGACGGATGGACTACTCAACGTTTGACCATGGGATTTGGAATGTTGGGCGGAAGCTGCCGCCGGGGATTGCGGCTATTGGGGCGTCGGTTGTGAGTATGGGGTTGGTGGTGCCGGGTATGGCGGCGCCGTGGTATACGGGTCCGATTGCAGAGACGACGGGGGATATTGGCTTCGAGATGGCGTTTGTGGTGACGGCTATCAGCTATATCCCATTCCGGTGGTTGGAGAATTCGATTAAGTGGGCATTTTGTAGCTGTCTGTTCTCCGCGGTAGCCTCGTGCTAGCCTCCAATGACTACAACACCAAGCGGGCCCTCCCCTCCTCTTCACCTCTTGATCCTCCCGCACATAACCACATCCTCCCCAAGCGGACACCACGTCACATCCGTCAACCGCACCGGCTCCGCCGGCTGCCCATCATCCCCAACCGTACGCGGCGGCGAGACCACCACCCCGCCTTGCCCCAGCCACGTCGGCGCAATAGTCACAATGACCGAGTCGACAAACACATTCCCCGCGGGCTCGAGCAGCGAGTTAATCACCTCGCCACCGCCCTCAATCATGACACTAGCAATACCCTCGCGCGCCAGCACCTCCAGACACATTCAGGCCCAACGCAAACCGCCCCCCTTCTGGCCCCCTCGCCTCCAGGATGCACATACCGGCCCACCAACCTTCTTCCAAAAACCCTCCGCCTCCTCTCCTCCACCCACAACCCCCTTCGCAACAAAACACCCACGGGCGCCAAACCCCTCCCCCGCCCTCGCCAGCCCCCACAACCCGACTCCCCTCCTCAACCGCCCACCGCGCGCGCGGATCCAGCACAATCGGCCGTGGCTGCTGCTGCTGCTGCTGCTGCTGCTGCTGGACCACCCCCTCCCCCTCCCCATCACCACCAACCCCCTCCAAAACCCCCTGCCCCAAAACAAGCCTCGAATTCAACCCCGGATCATCCGCGACCGCCGTGCCCGCGCCAACAAGAATCGCCGCGTGGCGCGCGCGCAGGAAGTGGGTCATGGCCTTGGACTGCGGGCCCGACAGTACCGTGCGCACGCCGGGGGCGAGGGCGAGGGAGGCGTCGAGGGAGTGGGGCGTAGGTGAGGGTTACGTGCGGGCGGGGCTTTCGGTTGTTTTTCTGCTGGGGGTGGGAGGTTGCTGTTGCTGTGGTTGCGGTTGTGGTTGTGCGTGAGGGGGGAGGTAGGGGGTGATGAGGGCTGCGTGGGCGGCGGGGAAGGTTAGGGGCTTCTTTTGGGGGCTGGGTTGGTTGGGGGGGTTGGGAGGTCATGATGGGTGATGTGTGGTAGGTTGGTGGTGCTGGTGATGATGTTGAGTTGAGTTGTGCAGTGTTTTACTGTGTAGGGTGAGGGTTAACTAAGGGTTAAAGGTGGTGATGACGAAAGGACGAAAGTCGTGCAGACCCTGCCAAGCCTGGGGTACGGAACAACAGTGTTCAGGAACCCAGTGATACAGCTTGCCAGCTGCTTCGTACATAAGGTACAGACACTAGTTAGGATTTAGTTACTTCGTACTTCATCTCTCAGCAGTGTCACATTGATTGGTCAATCGCTGTCCTCCTTGGCTGCCGTGTCAGCGGACCACAAATGATCGGATACCTGCTCCTCCCTCGGTATCCTATGGATGGAAAGCGGTATTCCACGTAAGCGGATTGGTTGCGATCGCTTTCATGGAGATCGTAGTCAGCACCTTAACAGCACGTATCCGAGTGGATTGATTGTATACCTAGTATGGAAAACAACCCATGTTACTGCCGCAGATCCCGGCCATTTCATTGATCAAGCAAACGGGGGACCGCGCTCTCTCAACCACGTAATCCGCTTCCGTCTTGCTGTGGACTCGGTCTCTTGGGCTCCGGTTTAGCCCGAGACATACGCAGGGCTGTGGCGGAGCGTTTGAGTGCCACACATGGTCTCGAGGGGGTTGCCTATGAACCGCCCATGTGAGACGTTCTCGGTCTGAAGGAGCGAATGGCACGGCAGCCATCAAGACGGATTGGCTCATGCCGAAACCTCCCCAATCGCCAACGCTGGGCACTCTGTTGAAGGGTCTATTCATTCTTTGTTTGATAACTAACTATCACGCGTTCGTTCAGACAGACTGCCGCACCTTGTCTTAGGTTGTTTGTCTTTGTTGCATCCCGTTTCCAGCCGTCTCCAGTTTTTTTCGAGTGCAAGGAGGCGAGCGTCGCACCCTTTGGAATCAATCGAGGACCCCATGCTTGGTTCGAGTGCGCTGAACAGTCAAAACAGTGCGGAGTAACCGCCCCCGCCACTGCTGCACATCATCGCGCGCAAAGGGTCAGAGGGTCCAACGACACGTACGTACCTACATAATCTGCGACACAGCCACGCTTGCCACGCAGGGGCAACCATCGTTCAAAACCAACCACCAACCACCAACGCGGATTTCAGCCTTGCTCCTTTCTTTTTGCGCCCATCTTCCCCAAGAATCACTCACTCACTCTGCGACCGCCAGTTCTCTCGAGCGCCCACTATTTCCGCCCGCCCAACAACAAACCCCCCGATCACTAGGTCATCGCCAAACACCAAACGCGCATAATCAACCACCAATTCCATCCTCACCAAAAACCCACCCAAAAACAACCACACAACCACACCAACCACCGCTACAATGTCCCAAAAACACGACGAGCCCCCCGCCTACGGCAACAACCCCGCATACCCGCAACAGGCCTACTACCAAGGCGGCCCGCCGCCGCCCCAGGGCGCGGCCGGCGGCTACTACCAGCAACAGCAGCCGATGGGCTACGGCGGACACCCGCAACAGGGCCCGCCGCCGGGCGGCTACTACCAGCAGGGCCCCTACCCGCCGGGGCAGCAAGTGCATTATCACCAGCAGGAGCAGAAGAGCAGTGGGCCGGTATGTCTTCTTGGTTTGCATTTGTTTCTCCAAGGGTGATGGTGTGCTAACAGATATGTGTCGCAGGGTTTCTTGTCGGCGTGTCTCGCTGGTTTGGCTTGCTGTTGCTGCTTGGATATGTTGTGTTAAAGCGGTCGTCGGCGCGGTGGGTTGGTCGCCCAGAGGCTGGTTTCTTGGACACACAAAAGACTATTTGGGGGGGCATAGATGGCTCTGCGCCTCGCCTTGTACGAACGTCGCAAATTCCGGTGCAGCTTGGAAAACGATTGGGCTGCCTACGAGATTGACTACGGGATGAGCGACATGACGGGTTCGCAAATAGCATGGGCGCCGGGCAGGGACCGCGGGATGGGGCGCAGGACTGCCCATGGCCTGTGATGGAGCGAGCGGGCCGGCGTATCAAGGGGATCTTGGTCAAGCCCATGCATGGCACGACTTTCACGATGGTCTCTTATGTCATGGCTTGCGTGGTTCTCGTTTATTTTGGTTTATTTTTTTTTCTTTCGGTAAACCTTGTAATATCTAGGTGGCTGCTTCTTCTAGGGTATGCGTTACAGGATCATGACCAGCAGCGGCCAGTACTGAGAATACCGTACTTCCCTACCAATGCCCCATTCCCCTGTCTCTTACTCTCCCTCCAAAGCCCGCCAATGACCACCTCACAAACTAGCAAACAGCCGGTCGTAGTTGTCGATGGCCTCCTGGACGCAGTCGTTGGAGTAGATCATCTTCTGGACGTCCGGACTGGCCCACTTGTCGGGCACAGAACCGGTCTTGCCGTTCTGGCGGAACTCGCGATCCCGCTCCTCCTTGGCTTTGCCCTCCCCAAGGTGCAGGATGCGGCCCGAGTGCGCGGCCAAGTCGACCAGCGCACTGCAGTGCGGCTTGCGCAGCAGCTCGTAGACCTTGAGCGTCCTGGACACCGTCTCCGGGTCGTGCATCTTGTCCGCGGGGATCTTGCTGACGACCTCGGCCAGCACGGCGCCGTCCTCAATCGCCATGGCCGCGCCCTGGCTAAGGTGCGGTAGCGTCGGGTGGCACGCGTCGCCCAGCAGCGCCACCGACCCGTGCACCCACGTCGGCAGCGGCTTGTGCACGCGCAGCTTCCATTCGCACACCTCGCCGTCGGGCACCAGGTTGAGCATGCGGTGCACCAGCGGGCAAAAGTCGCCGTACACGTCGAGCATGGCAGCCTTGGAGCCCTTGGTCGTGTAGGTGGCGTTGGTGGCCGCCGCGAAGTTGGTGTCGGGCTGCGCCGACGACAGGTTGTAGATCTGCTTGTTGCTGACCGGGTACGCGATGATGTGCCGCCGCTCCCCGACCCACCGCACCACCGTGTCGCTCTCGATCAGCGCCAGCATCTCCGGGTCGTGCTCCATCTGCGCCCGGTCCAGCATGATGCGGTACGCCGCCTGGCCCGTGTCCTCCTCCTCCGACTGCGTGCCCAGCTCCGCCAGCATCTGCGTGCGCGTCGCCGACTTGATCCCGTCCGCCGCCAGCACGATGTCGGCTTCCATTGTGTACTCGTCGCCGTTGCGCGGCTTGAGTGTGATGGTGGGCTTGCCGGCGAACGAGTTCACCCGGGCTAGCGCTGTCGAGAAGTGGAACTTGATGGCGCTCTCCTTCTTGCAGCCCTCAAACAGGCCGTTGGCGAGTGATGACCGGTGCCCTGTGCAATGAGGGTACCCGTATTTCTCTTCGATGTCCGGCATCAGCACGTGTGAGAGCTCGACATCCGTGCTTCCCTCTGTTCAGACGATTAGCCCTTCAAGCTCGTCCAGGGGAGTCGACTCAGAGTCGCCTTACGTCTGATGCTGGTCCCCTGGACGTTTGTCGCCTCAGCGTAGATCTCCTTCCAGCATCCTAACCGGTCAAGTACACGGACGACGTTGGGCGGCATCTGGATGCCGGCGCCGACGAAGCCTAGATTTGACGCCGTCTCAAAGACATCGATCGTCTTGAACCCCTTCTTGGCAAAGGCGAGGGCGGTCCCCAGCCCACCCATACCTGCAAAGCGTCAGTATCCAGTATCCATTGCCCGGTGAGACGTGAGTAAAATCGAGGGAGGCATACCCGCGCCGATAATGGCGATGCGTAGATCGCGTACGTCTGCCATATTAGGACTCGATTAGGAGATATAACGAGGCTTTCGTCTGAATAGGTGTGTGTTTAGGAGAATAGGAGAATAAGTTGAGAGAGAAACAAAGTAGTCCTAGGTTTGGAGTGAGTCGGATGACAAGAGGGTATCAGTGGTGCGGTTAAAGGAGGCTTGTCCCTTCTTCACTCGGTATTCATATATATACACCAGCGGCGATAGCCTGGATCCAGTCCTCGGCACCTGCTCTCTCAGCCCCAAACCCGCAGCGCATCGAACCATGCTAATCGCGATTTGTGTGGCAGGCGGCGCCGGATCCAAGTGGGACTTGACTCCCGGGTCCGCATCAGACCTCATATTTTTTGCTCAATTATTATTATCCGTCCTCACGGTAGCGCACACAGCCTATCCCTCATGGGACATCCCCTTTGCGGGAAGACGCGCACCCACAGCACCGTTTCGTCGGTACAAAAAATGGTAGCTCGCGGCCAAGTGTGGGGGTTGCGGGTTGAGGGATGCGGGGAAGACACCAGCGCCGGGACATTCTGGAACCGCCGTGGATTGCCAAACCGGGAATCATATCGTCCTTGGGAAAATGGATTTGCCGCTGGTTTAGGACCCGAGGCCGGCCCACAGCCACCAGGCCCAAGTTGATCCTTGCGTTTTTAGGATTGTTGGACGTATTCGGCCATACCATCAGCCGTTGTCTGACCCCGTGCATTTTTGTTGTCTAACAGCCTCCAAAAAAAGGAAGGCACAGTCTCGATGTTGTAGACTGCATTTCGTTGTGAGGTGTCGGAGCTTGAAAAAGTACCGCAACCCGATTCGGGGATCCGGCTCTGTGGATGTTCCTTGATTGGCGTGTCTAGAGGGTACCAAATCTGCACAATACATTTTACATACAACTCCCTACCTTGGGTACCTAGTTATGTGTAGGTATTTGGTACGATCAAACCTCAGGTAGTTTGAATTCCCAGGTTTTCCATCAGCATTCTCAAACCAACCTGGAAACGGCGAAAACGGGAGATCGGACTCCTTCCCAACCCTGCAACCCCAGCCTGTAAAATCGATCAGGGAGTGCGGGCCGGCGCAACCCGGTAGTTAACTGCGCAAAAGTTTGTTCAACGTTGCAATTGCATGTATCACTTGCACCACCATGAATCGTTGTGGTAAAGGGATGTGATGGAATAAATTCGACACGGTTTCCAGATATATTAATAACTGTTAACAACGTCGTCTCCTCTGGTCGTTGCCTTCTCCGCCCATGACGAGCACAGCCATCTCTGCAGGTCGGCCCACGCGATGGGTGAGACATGTTTCGAGCGGCAGACCGGCGGCAAACCGACAGCCTGGAACGCGGCCCAGAATAAGCACACGTGCCTTGAAAGGTACACAGTAATCCCCCTTTCAGCTTTTGTTTTTATCTTTCTGGAACTGGTTACCGATGAGATGGAGCAACAAGCAACAGAGGACAAAGACCATTGACGGGTAAAGCCGCCGCGGGATGAAAATAGTGTATGTACATCAAAAAGCCAAAAATAAAATAGAAAGATCGAAAATATAAAATAGACTTTGACAAAGCGCGCGTTTAAAGCTTGAGTTCGATAATGGAATCATTGGTTCCCGCAAGCCAAGAAATTGGCGAGCTCGGGTTCGACAAACAGCCAACCAAAGAACCAAACACAAAAGTCGGCGGGAAAACAAGGTGAGCAGAGGATGCTGCGGGAGGGCAGCCGCCGACGTCACTCCCAATGGCGAATCCACAGCCAATCAATTCTCTGCCCTGCACGCGAGACCTTTGCCAAATGTTTCAGACGAACTGGGTCCTTGTTCAGGGTCAATAAAATTAGCGACTTTGACATCCAGTTTCAGGCCCGATGTCATAGGCCAAAGGAGGCCAATGACCAAATGGTCAAGGAGACCACAAGTCCGCAACGCCATGGACCCCCTGTTACTCGGCCAAAGCGAATGGAGATGCAAGCCCGCAAGTCTGCGGTCGCCCTGCCGCTTTTCCGATTTCTCCATCATGTTCATTGTGCCAAGCTGGCCATGTGGTCACACCCACATCCTCCCTCCCAGTTGATTCTGAATGATCTCATCTCCTGTGCTCCTTTCGTGTTGCCTCTTGTGTTCCGTGTGTTCTTAACCAAAACCACTAACTAATACCTTGACCCCTCACCTACGCCGCAACGCCCCCATTTCCCCTTCCAACTTTCGCGGGGAATACGCATGGCCCGGTATTGCGGTAGCCATATTCCCACTCGCGCTGGCGAGCTCTAATATCACCAAAGCTACCACCATCTACAAGCATCGCATGCGACATTCGTATCGATGAGTGACATAACCACGACGGCGCCCCCAGAGGTGCCGACGTCGGCGTCGCCATCATTATCATCGTTGGCGTCGTCGACGTTGACATCGGCCGCGGCCGCGGCGACGACGACTACCATCGAAGAAGGGCCAGGATCAGCCCAAGAGGCGACGGGTATCAGCCTTGTTGCTTTTGTGACTGCGTTGGCCGCTTCGTTGGTTGTCTTCGGCATCCAGACGGGCTTTTTCTTGCTATTACGGAACAAGCTGGTCAGGATATTGTACGTTGAAGTCTCCCTTCCTCCTCCCGCTTGCTCCCCTACAACGTAGAAACTGACAGACACGACCACAGCAAACCAAAAACATACCTAGTACCCGAACGAGAACGCACCGATTCACCCCCCTCTAACCACTTGGCCCTGGCGTACAAGCTCATGAGCTTCGAAGATCGCGAAATCATCAAAAAATGCGGCCTCGACGCCTACTTCTTCCTGCGCTACCTACAAACCCTCCTCATCATATTCATTCCCATCGCCGTGGTGGTAATACCCGTCCTCGTTCCTCTCAACTACATCGGCGGCCTGGGGCGCGATGTCGTCAACAGTACCACCACCGAAGACAATTCCACCACAGCCAACGTCCCCACGGGACTAGATACGCTAGCATGGGGCAACGTCGCCCCAAACAAGCAACACCGGCGCTGGGCTCACCTTGCTCTCGCGCTCGCCGTCATCTTGTGGGTTTGCGGCGTCTTCTTCAGCGAGCTGAAGGTCTACATCAAGATCCGCCAGGATTATCTAACCAGCGCCGAGCACCGCCTGCGCGCCTCGGCGAACACGGTGCTCGTGAGCTCCATCCCGGACAAGTGGCTCAGTGAGGAAGCCTTGAGAGGCCTGTTTGACGTGTTTCCCGGAGGCATTAGAAATGTCTGGCTTACCCGGGACTTCACGCCGCTGCTTGCCAAGGTCCACGAGCGCGACGCGATTCACAAGAAGCTGGAGTCGGCCGCGAGCGAACTAATCCGCAGCGCGAAGAGGGCGCAGCTGAGGAAAGAGGGGGAAAATGGGATTATGCAGAGGATCAAGGCGGTCACCACGGAGGGCAGGGCCGACAGAGCGCAGCGCGCAAAGGCCGAGGACGAGGAGGCCCGCAGGCGTGCCGAAGGCGCCGGTGGCTTGAGTGCCAACACGCCACATATTCCTCAGGGTGTACACGAGGCGATAGACGACACGGATAGCAGGAGTGACAGCGGAACCGATATCCAAGAGGGAGAGATGGAGGAAGAGGTTGAGCAAGAGAAGCGCCGGGGGCGCGGGAACCCGCTCGCTAAGATTGGACAGGGTATAGGCAAAGGGGCCGGTAAGGGTGCTGCTATCGCCACCGGGGCTGGTCTGGGCCTTCTGGGGGGCGCGAAAGCCGTCCGGAAAGGCGTCGATCGGGAGCTAGAGCGGACCGCTGGTTTCGATTTTGCGGCCACAGGAGGCCCTCGGGGGCCGCCTTCCATGACGACGGTCGACCCGGATTCTCCTAAGCGGGACTACGGGGCGGGCGACGACGAGGAGAGGCCCAAAATGTCGTTCGCGTCAGAAGCCCCATTGACCAAGACCACCCGCCACGCCCACACCTCATCCGACGCCTCCCAGGACGTCTCGGACCTTAAGAAGGAGGCCCCCGAACCTAGAAGTTTTGGTAACACCGTCCGCCGTGCTACTAACATGGAGGAGATGATCGTTACCGACAAGACTAGGTGGTACGAGTTCTGGAAGCCCCCTACCGGCAGTTACGCATCCCCGATCCCACAGGGCTGTGAGTCAGGCGAGTACCCATGGAAGAAGAAGAAGTCGTTCTGGGGGCTCGTCAGAGACGCGATTCCGTTCGTGGGCACCCACGTCCCGCCGGTTGACTACCCACCCGCGTATACCCGCGATTATACGACCCATCCAGAGGAGGATGCAGAATGGAGGAAATGGCTGGAGCCGAAAGAGCGTCCGCATCACCGGATTGCCAATTTCTCGTGGACGCCCTCGTGGTTGCCCGCTCTGCCTCTGATCAACAAGAAGGTGGACACGATCTACTGGTGCCGCGCGGAGCTCGCCCGGCTAAACCTGGAAATCGAAGAGGATCAGCAGCGCCCTGAGCGCTACCCCGTCATGAACTCGGCCTTCATTCAGTTCAACCACCAGGTGGCCGCCCACATGGCCTGCCAGTCCGTCACCCACCACGTCCCGAAGCAGATGGCGCCCCGCATGGTCGAGATCTCTCCGGGTGACGTCCTCTGGGACAACATGGCCATCTCGTGGTGGAGCGAGTGGGTGCGAAGCGCCATCGTCTTTGCCCTGGTGTCCGCCATGGTGGTTCTCTGGGCGTTCCCGGTCGCCTGGACTGCCTCGCTCTCCCAGATCGACGCTCTGGTTAGAAAGTATAGCTGGCTCGAATTCCTGGTTGAGAACGAGGTAATCAACAACGCCATCAAGGCCGTCGCCGGTGTCCTGCCCGCTCTGGTTCTGTCCATCATCTTGGCCCTGGTACCCGTCTTTCTTAACCTATTAGCCGAATTCCAGGGCTCCAAGACTGGCTCGCGGAAGACCGAGACGGTCCAGATCTACTACTTTGTTTTCCTCTTTGTCCAGGTCTTCCTCGTCGTCTCCATCGCCTCCGGTACCTTCCAGACGCTGGCCAACATCTCCAAGGACTTCGCGAGCACGCCGAACGTCCTGGCCGAGAATCTCCCCAAGGCTGCCAACTACTTCTTCGCATACATGATTCTGCAAGCGCTCTCGACGAGTTCGGGAACGCTGCTACAGATCGGCACGCTCCTGATCTGGTACGTTTGGGCTAGGATGGTCGACAACACGGCGCGGGCCAAATGGACCCGCAATACCCAGCTGCCGACCGTCTCGTGGGGCTCCTTCTTCCCGGTGTACACCAACTTTGCGTGCATCGCACTCATCTACTCCATCGTCGCGCCCCTCATCTCCCTCTTCGCCATCATCACATTTAGCCTGCTCTGGGTGGCCCACCGCTACAACATGCTCTACGTCACGCGGTTCAAGACCGACACCGGCGGTGTCCTGTACCCGCGGGCCATCAACCAGACCTTCACGGGGCTGTACGTCATGGAGCTGTGTCTCATCGGCCTCTTCTTCATCGCCGAGGACGAGACGGGCAAGAACGTGTGCTTCCCGCAGGGCATCATCATGGTAGTGGCTCTCATCCTGACCATCCTCTTCCAATACGTGCTCAACTCGTCTTTCGGCCCGCTCTTCCGCTACCTCCCCATCACCTTCGAAGACGAGGCCGTCCTCCGCGACGAAGCCTTCCAGCGCGCTCAGGCCCGCCGTCTCGGACTAGTCGGGGACGACGACGACGAGGCCGGCTCGCTCAACCGCCCCGGCACGGCCGACACCGACGGCCGGCACGCCGCCGACGACATCGAACTCGAAAAATTCGCCGCGGGCCGCGGCCACAGCACCAACCCCCGCCACCACGCCCGATCAGGCTCCGTCCTCGGACGCCTCAACCCCCTCAACAAGGGCATCGCGCACGCCAGCACCTGGGCGGCGCGCGGGGGCAAGCAAATCCGCGCCGCCACCTTCGGCAAAGCCGAAGAAGGCCTGCGCTCGGCCGCCCAATACCGCAAAACACGGCGCCAGCGCGACCTCGAGGCGCAGCGCGCCATGGGCGACGCGCTCTACGGCGGGTACTGCGACGTGATCGAGGACCTGACCCCGCGCGAGCGCGACGTGCTCGTGCGCAAGGCCTTCCAGCACTCGGCGCTGCGCGCGCGCCGGCCCGTCGTGTGGATCCCGCGCGACGATGTCGGCGTCAGCGACGACGAGATCCGCCGCACCAATGACTTTAGCGAATATATCTCCATCACCAACGAGGGCACCGCGCTGGATAGCCGCGTCAGGGTGTTGTATGGGAGGAATCCGCCGGATTTTTCGGAGGTCGATCTTATTAATCTTTGAGGGGAGGGGGACCGGTTGGATATCGGGGTGGTGATGGGTGGTGGTAAGAGAGAGACCATGGCCCCCGGGGGGTTAAGGGATGAAATAGAGAGAGAGAGAAAGAAGAGTCTCCGGTGGGTGCATACACATTGGGAGAGGTAAATACCCGTGGCGTTTGGGAGGTTGTTTTGGTTTGACTAATTTACTTTGGAGAGCATCGGATTCAATGCATCTCAGATGGGGGATAAGCATCGCATCACATCGCATCGGATTGCATTGCACTGCAAGAAACATTGGGCGTGGTGGATGTATATAGATAGCATACGCATACCAGCACCAGCTCAGGGATAGCATTGCATATAGCACGTAACCTGTTTGCAAACCGTGGGTTCCTGTGTGAGCAAGATTCGGTCTGGTCATTCATTCATTCGTCTCCCATATCCTCAACTATGCATGCCGCTGGTAATAAATCGCTGGCTTGTTCACCAATTTAACAAGGCAAAACGCCTTTAACGCCCACAAGCCAATATAATATACAGACAAAGCGCCACAGAGTGCCAGTCTAACCTTAAACAGTGCCATAAACGCCCTTTACGCCCCATCCTTTTTTCCCCAGTTCACTCGTTGCGATCACGGTATCCAACATCCTAGGCCTTCTCCTTCCCCTTTGCCGGCCAGACAAATTTCATCACGGGGCCCAAGGTGGTTTCGCCAGCCCAGCAGGCCAGGGTGGCGAGCACCTGCAGGAAGCCGATGATGATGGGAAGCAGAGGCGTCAGGGTGACAAACTTGAAGAACTCGTTCACCTGGTATAAGTCCTTCTGCGTCTTGATCAGGTACCGCGTCGAGGCGGTGCTGGAACTGGAGCCCGAGTCCGAGCCGGAACCAGTGGCCTTGCTGGCGGCGTCGGAGGTCGGCGGGGGTTTGCTGTTCCCGTCCTTCTTTTTCCGCTGCGTTTGGGAACCGGCTGATCCGCCAGTAACGGCTGCGTAGCTCGGCTCGTTGCCTTCCAGAACAGCTTGGAGCTTTTCCTGGGCGGCGTCGTATGTGGGAGGCGGGGTGCCGTCTCCGGGGGCGTGGGCGGGGGTTAGGTGCAGGACAGTGACGAGGCGTACCGGGGCGCGGTGGAAGGGGATGAACCAGATGGAGAAGACCTGGAAGATGGTGAGATAGAGGAGGTTGGCACGTTCATCGTAGACTGTGGAAGGGAAAGTGGTTAGTGGGTTAGTGCTTGGGTTTGGGTGATGGAGGGTTAGCATACCGCATGATTCAAGTTCTAGCTCGATCTTGGGGCTGAGGATCTTGTCTAGTCGAACGAGTTAGCTACCTCGGTGTCCTCATGTTGTTCCTGGCAGCATGGTAGGCTACGTACACCACCTGTAGATGGCGGCAATGAGTATTCGGGAGTCGATCTCGCCCACAAAAGGTACATTCAAGTTCTTGAAGGACGGAACCCAGCAGAAAGGATGCTCGAATGCGGCACCGGGCGCAAAGTAGCGGTAGATGGCGTCATGCTGGGCTTCTGGTGTCCCCTGGGTTAAGGCCTGGAGGACATTTTTGATATCCTGCGCTGTGGAGGTTGGTCAAAGGTTATTAGCCCATCCGTTATTCTGTGGTTCGGCGGCGACATGGGTTGAAGTTGGGGTTATTGATAAGGGTGAAAAGGAGCTGTTATAGTTACCTGGATCCTCCATTGTGTCTTGATAATAACTTGATTGGTGCTTGATTGATTGGGGCTTGGTTGGGACGATGCAATTGACAAAAGAAACAAATGACTATGTCTATTTTCCGTTGAATTGGTCGCTGAACCTGAAAGAAAGAGCAGATTGGAGGGTGGCATTTGTTTTATGTGTCTGTCCCTCCTCCTCTATCCGCTCGCCAGTGATGTCATTGATGCATTTCGAGGCAGGCAAGCTGGGCCAGGTAACCGACCCCACAGCATGTGACAGACCCCAGCATTGCAACGCAAGACGGCACAACGGCTCGAGTATGGGTTAGGGTTGGTACATTGAAGCTCAAAAGGGAGGATGGCAAGAAATGGCGAGTGTATGATGGTTGGAGGGAAGTTGGGCAAAAAATCTCAACATCTAAAAATCGCATTCCAGATCAATTAGAAGGGCAATTGATAGGGGTGCAGTATCACTTTTTGATGGGGGTGCAGTATCACTTTTTTTTGGCCATAGGGTTAGGGTTATGTATGGGGGAACCAGAAATCCAAAAAATCTGGCTGCGACGGGGCCTTGCAGCGCCATGGCTCAAGGATTCTGTGCCCTGAATTAGTGGGGGGGGGCTGCAGATGAGGGCGCTGGAACACACCGTTCGCAGGGGGGCGGCGGCGCGCAGGGGCGCGCGGCGACTCAATTGATCCGACTTGATCGCTTGTTCTGGTGCGACACGGCTGTCTTGGCTGTTCTGGCGATTGTGGTGGTTGTGGTGGAAATCGCTGTTTGGCTGTTCTGGCTGGCTCTGGGTGGCTGTCTTGTCCGTTCAGAATCTTGCCAAAGTTGGATTTCTTTGGATTTCTGGCCCCCCATACATAACCCTAACCCCGGCCCCAAAAAAAAGTGATACTGCACCCCCATCAAAAAGTGATACTGCACCCCTATCAATTGCCATTAGAAGTATCGCAAATGTACCGTAAATGCCCTATATCTTTCAAAAAGAAAAACAGCCCGTTCATCCAAACCATAGATTTATCTAAACACAAACGCAATGCCACCCATCATACCCTAACTCATCCCTCATTTACATCTCAGCGCCGAGAATAAACCATCCAACCTTCTGTAACGCGTATTCATAATACAACACCGACCAACCTTCAAACCCACCCAGAAATCAACCACATCTACCCAAGCAAGCTCCCCCCCTTAACAAACCACAGATCTGCAGAGCCAACCAAACCCGCATCACCTGCGACTCCCCGACCGGCGCACCTCCATAAACGACGCATCGCCTCCAGCAAACCGATCTGGATCAACCTCCCTAAACCCACTGGACCGCCGCTCCACACTGCGCACCCTACTCCTGCGCCTCCGCGACGGGCTATGCTCCTCAATGACCACGACCTCGTCCTCATCATCCTCATCATCCTCCCCGCTACTCGAAACAACCCTCCTCGGCGGCGGCGGCCCGGCCCCGGCCATCCTCGCCCGGCTCACACTGCGCCGCCGCCTCTCCTCCTGCACCACCACGCGATCAAACTCGGACGGCGCCATCGACGAGCTGACCACCTCCTCCACCACCACCGGCCCCCCCCTCACCGTGACCCCGCCCCTCCGCACCTCCACCGTCTCTTTATGCTGATGCCGCGACGACCGCCTGCGACTCCGACTGCGCTGGCCCCTCCGCCGCGTGTACACGGACCCGGACCCCTCGGTCACCACCGTCGAGGTATCGCCCGCGCCACCGCCCACCGCGCCCGGGTTGCCCAGGTTGATGCACGTGTACACCAGCCACAGCAGGAGCACGAAGCCGGCCACTGCGCCGAGCGTGATGCCCGCGACGGCGCCCGGGTCGGGGCTGCCGGTGAGCGAGCCGTAGTAGGCCGGGATGGTGGTGGTGTGCGTGGGCGGTGGCGGGGGGTTGTCCTGCGGGTTCTGGCGCGGGATGATCAGCGCGTGCGCGATGTGGTTGGGGTCGATGGCTGGTGTCGCGGGGGGCGCGCCGCGCGGTTGGTATTTGGGGTTGGTGGGGCGGCATTGCGCC